ACTCCTCGTCCACCTTCCTCATCCCTCCTCTTCTTTTTTCTTTCTACTCATCTTCCATCTTCTCCTCCTCGTATATAATCCTAAGTTGGACAAATCAATTCTATTTAATTAAATAATCCTAGAATTAGATTAAACATCAGCACAATTAGATCAACCAAAATTAAAATAGATCAAAATTAAAATTTAATCAAGATTTGAGTTTTCTTAAATTCGATCAAAACAAGATTAATTAAATCTAAATTCAGTCGAGCAATCAAAATAGTGTTAGAATCCAGTTTAATCAAAATATTTGATTAAAGCAAGTTAAATTAGTTAATTTTATAACTGAAAAAATAAGTAAAAAATATTTAATTTTTGAAGTGTAAAACTATAATTTTGGTAAGATATATAGTGAAAATATCTGATTTCTGAAGAGTAGAAATGTCAATGATATTGATTGAAATCAATAGAATTCATAAGAGTAACACTATAATTTTAATAAGTGAAATCTTCTTTTTTTTCTTCCCAATAACCATTATGCGAGACATGCAACAACCATAATGTGCAATCATCCTACGGTAGCCACTGTGCACGATTCTTCTCACGTGATCGACCAACGACCTCTACAGTCATTATGACATGCAATAGTTTCATGTGGCCAATCAATAATCCCTGTAGTCGACTTGGTATGTGGTAGTTTTCATACGATCGATCGATGACCCTTACGGTTGTCAAAGTGCGCAATTGGCCTGAACTATCTCCACGATTGACTAATAACCCCTATGGTTGTCACGGCATGTCATTGTGCCCACTCTAATTATTACGCGTGATGTCTGCAGTCAACCAGCAATCGTGTGGCCATCGCACAACTATTGTGAACTATGACTTTCAATGTTGACGGCCAACAGAAGGTGCCACAATGGTATTGTTGTAGCTGTTGGTTAAAGGTAGCAATGCAACACTAGTCTAAGGTAATAGCATCGTTGTAGTCATCACACCTAAGCGCCCTACTGCATGTGCAACCACCTATGACTAAGGCAGGATGCCACAATAATGCTTGGGTTATAACATACAGGCAACCATTGTTGCATGTGACACCGGTTATCACACCTGCTATTGCCTATGGTAGCATTGGTACATAGCTATTGTTTGCAATTGGGTCGGTGACCAATGAAGGTCATTGCCCTCAGTAATGCTATAAATAATAGTCTATTAATCAAACACGAGGAATCTTACATTGCTCACAAGTAGGCACAAGTAAGCGACAGGTCGAACGAGATAAAAAAATAGATCGATAATGAATCGTTCAAGTATCATACAATTAAAACAAAATAACTCTTTTTCGTAAGCAAAAGATACTAACAAATAGATCTAAATACAAACAAATTGTATACTTTTACGATCTAAAATATTTGATTTTAAAAAATTATAATTATGCTATTATTATACGAAAAAATTTAATGTTAGAATCGAAATCAAATAACGATAGATGAAGATCAAGATTGTGTATCTTTCGATGTGATTTAGAAAACTTTTATCTGATTTGTAGATACACTATCATCGAATCTAAAAGCTGCAATGATGTTAATATATAAGGAAAACAAGACTGGTCTTCTTCTCTCTTCATACCTTTTAAAAGATCATTATAAACAATAGAATAAGGATTAAGAGAGATTAATAATAGATCTATAATCTCAATTTTTTAATGTATCTCTAGAAAGTCATATATCTTTTTATAAGTGAGAGCAAAAGATTTAAAATAATAACCAAAAGAGTTCCTTCCATATCATCTCTTAAAAAATTTTAAGATATTGACTATAACCAATCTATTTATATCTATATAAGATATATAAACTAAGGGATACTATAGGTTCAAATTCTCATCCATTTATATCTATAATATAAGGTCACATAACCTAAGGGAGACTATAAGTTCAAATTCTCATACAATATTTTTATGTCTGTTTATATGTGAACATCTTAAATACAACATAATAATACTACTACTACTAATAATAATAAAAAATAATGCAGTATACTGTAAACTCCAAACCATAGTTCCATATGTATGACATTTTTAAAAAATATATCCTTTAAGATATATACCAAGATTCACATATCATATGCAAACGGAATCGTATTTATAAATGAAGAAACATTCAAAAGCAACCTATATATTTAAATTTATGCCGGAAATAAACACAGGGATTACTTCTTCGACCAAATGTTTGGTAAAATAACCAATATGCAATACAATTGAAGGCACAGATACCATATGTTTTGTGTGTTTGTTTACATCAGAAATCAATCATTATTTTTTTTGATCTTGCTTGTTTTAGTTGTTAATTTTCTCAGAGGTTATAGAGATAAGGAACTTGTCAATCTCATTCATTGGTAAAATGGTTATACAACATAGTTCCCATCTCAACATATCCAGTATTACTATATGGATGTCAAGTTGGCCAGTGCTCTTTGTTTTGAATAAAATTCTCCAATTAATGTTTTTACAAGAACAGAGGTTGCCAACTCAATGTTTCATGGAACTAAACAAAACATGGACCAACAACACTAGGAGTGTGGTGGCTGAGCTTGCTAAGAGGGTAAATGCTTGCTTCTTGACCTATACAAGCTAATTAACCTATCACATATACTTTGAATTCTTCATAATATTTATCTTCTCTTCAGTTTTTTATATGAAGTGCCAGTATGACATTAAATTTCTCAAACCTAGAATATAAGAACTAACTGTGACAACATGCTCATGGAAAATAAAAGAATGAATGCAGAATGATGGGAACAATAGGATATCCTTTACTAACAGCAGCAAATCCAACTCCAAACACAGGAGGAAATAGAATATGCTCCATCAAGTTCATGTCTAAACTAATTTTACTAACAGTGTTTCTGTAAACCGTCGCCTTGGTGCCGACAATTCGGGTCCAAATGATTGGGGACCTTTTTGGGACGACTCTTGAGAGTGCTGAGGTGGCCATCTTCGGTGGTCCGATCGGGATGGAGTGGTCGCTACCTCCACCAAGGAGGGACTCCTCACCCGGTCCCGCGGTGGGAAGCGCTCCATCTTCGCGCCTGCACACAGGTCAGGTCGGGGGGCTCGACCCGACCCCTCCGATGGTCAAGTCAGTGGATAGTCTTCGGGAGTTTTTTTTTCTTTTTCTTTTCTTCGGAGCGCGAGGGTTTTTATAGTAAAGGTTGTCGTTGCCTGATGTGTTTGATAGTGGTGTTGGCGTGACGTGAAGGACTGAGCCTGAGTAGGATGTTAATGTGCATTGACCGACATTCCGATCTGTTTGACGAGGTGTTGTCAGGTCAATCGAGGCATGAGGCGTCATCAGACGTCAAACCGAGTCTTATCGTCATTATTACCCGCATCAAACATCAGCTAGTCGTTAAAAGTCATTTGCTTATCGCAGACATAAACTTTACATACGAAACATGGGTTGAGGGTCAGAGTTTTGTTAAAAGTAATTAGATACAATAATCTGCTATAATTAATTGAAGCATAGTAATAGAATTGTTAACCATGAACAACTAAACAGCTGTAATCACAAAGCAAGATGATATCTATCGTCAAAGATAAGGAAAGACTCGTAACACAAATATTGACAAGATTTAATGAAGATCACAAACATCTTTAGAAAATATTGGCTAGAAAAGCTATCATAATTGACCGATGTTGTCACTTACAGCAACTAAAGGGCCCCATGGACTAAGAAATTCTCCGGGATCTGTTGGAAATCATATCTAACATCATTCAGTCATCCAAACCAGATCTGCACATAGAATACTTCTAAAACCATAAAAAGGTTTTAGTAGTTAGACCATGGCGCCAACCCTAATGAATGACACGAAACAAAGGGGAATGAACCAAGTGGTTGTGAACCAGAATCTAAGAACACAAAAAGACAGTTTAGAACCCTCCAACTAAATCCCCAGTCCGTATTACGCCAAAAATAATTAAAAAATAAAAATATTAGGTGGCTTTCCCTTTAAAAAAACCCTCAATTTGGATTTTTTTTTTCAAATCATACCCCTAATTAAAAAAAAAAAAAATCCAAACCATCCCTTAAAATAGTGTTTTTGGTTTGTTACAGTATTTTGACCACCACAACAAAAATATTATAAAGCTTACTTAAAAATAATAGAAATAAACTAAATGGAATCAAAATATATTAGAAATCATTTAATGTACCATATTATGATTTAAATAAATATTTATAATAATATCACCTAAATAAAAATTAAAAATTTGCTTTTATAGTAATTTAGCTACCACAATAAAAATACATATATGAAAATATGTAAATGGTCCAAATAAACACTTATCCACAAACAAACCAATTATAAGTTTAACATATAGTATCATAATGGTTTACCAACAATGACAACTAAAGAGGTATAATATGTTACTTACAGAATTTTTAAATAATATATTATAAATATTATTAAAAAAATTATAAACGAGTTAAATGAAAAATACTGTAATAATTCAAAACTACTGAAAAAATGGACGATAAATTTTGACGGAAAGAATTGGTGAGGAATATATTGAATATTTTTAAAAATAAAAATATTATTTGAAAAAAAAAACCAAAAAGGGGAGTTGTTGGGAAAATCTCCAAATGAGAAAATAAATATTATCACAAAATTTCTCCTCCGTCCATATACGAACTTCACGTCCCATCTCACCGTACACAACCGGTGAACTCATATTTAAATCTCCGGCTGCCACAGATCGCTCACTCCTTTCTCGGTCCTCGCAACCGTTTAACGTTAAACCTTGTCCGCCGGTACTCTCTACCACCCTTTCCCCGATCTCTTGTTAACTTGGACGGATCTGGTGTACGACAGTTTTACAGGTAGAAGAAATTACCTATGATTTTGCGTATTCTAATGCTTGTTGTTGACGTGTCTTCGTTTCATAGGCTTAATTACAGATGGGTAGTAGGCGTAACACACCTGAACTGATTCCAGTATTGAATCATTCATTTTAGTTCCACATCTCCAGCTCGCCCCCATCCGAATTCCTCTGTCTCTCTCGTACCCGAGAGCTCATCGTGGGTGGGCGTCGCCTAAGGATTGGTGAAGCCGAAGGAGAGGGATCGGAGAAGGGCTGTCGCAGCGATGCACGGGGTGAACGCGATAGTGGTGGCGAGGATGTTGACGACGGCGACGGTGGCGGCGTCTGCGGCCGCCGGCGGGAGCGGCGCCCCTTTGCTTCAGCAGCAGGGGGACATCCCGTTCGGGTCGCTGCTGTGGTACGCATACGTGGGGATCTCCTGCGTGCTCGTACTGTTCGCGGGGATTATGTCCGGGCTTACCTTGGGGTTGATGTCGCTCGGCCTCGTCGAGCTCGAGATCCTGCAGCGCAGCGGAACCCCTGCCGAGAAGAAGCAGGCAGGTCCGTATCCATTCTCCCCTGATTATCGAATCTGTCCGTTCTTGTTCGGATTGGAGGAGGAGCTTCCGTAACGCCCTCCTATGTTCTTGATTTGTTTAGAAAAGCCACCGATCTTCCTTTTTCTTTAACAAGAAATCGATACTTGTTCGATGTTGTTTCTACTCAACGTAATTTTCTCATTTAAACGTGTCTAATGCGTGGAAGAATACTTGCTTTCTTTGCATAGGAGACCTTGTGTAATTTCTTCCGTGTAAACTAATTAAATTGCTTCTATGCCTGATAAATCAGCGGATTTTTTTTTTCTCGCGCACTGAAATTTACGCACATTTTTATGTTTCTTGTCATAGTTTGTCTTTTAATCTTGTTATGCTTTATTTGCTGGTTCTTTGTTGCAGCTACAATTCTTCCTGTTGTTCAAAAGCAGCATCAGCTTCTTGTGACTTTGCTTTTGTGTAATGCGGCTTCCATGGAGGTGCGAATCTATCCAAACGTCCTGTGCCAATCATTCATTATCCGAGGCTTTCCTGCAATCATTTTTCGTGTACAGTAGTTGCAGATGCTTATCCGACTTAACTGAATGCGAAACATTTTACAGTGCTAATGCATCAAATATCTCGACCTGTATCTTGGTTTATCATTATAAAAATGTCTCTAGCTGATATATTCTTAAGATCTAATATGAATATATCCTCAGATTTTTATGAAAGATCTAATATGAATATATCCTCAGATTTTTGTGAAACACACAATCAGGTAGTTGCCGAACCAATAACATCAGTTAACAAGTAATCTAAGAATGTACCAAGCTGTATTGATGGTTTTATTCTGTATCGGATTTCATTATATCAATAACAAGCAACGATAAGTTGAGTGATAAGCTGCTGAAAGTCCTGCTTACCAAAATGTGCTCCTAGTTTACCTATGTTTTGTTTTAGATGTCTACATGAAATCTTGAAAGTTGTGGTAATGATTTATAATTTAACATTTAGAAACTCAGTAAGTTCAGCAACAATCTGATCATAATCGTGTGGGTTGTCAAATTTTAGGTTCTTCTACCAACTTATGGTCATGAAATTTGGTACTTGTGGTGCTGTATATTTATATGCAATGGACTAATAGGAGTTCTATTTAATGGTTTGCAGTTACTGTTTACTGGTACATACTTTAGATTTTCAATTTTTAACTTTTTCTTATCTTCTTTAATTGGGTTCTTTGATATGACACTTACAGTGCTGAGGCCAAAGTTGTTTAATGCAGGCTCTTCCTATATACCTTGATAAGTTATTCAATCCATTTGTCGCTATTGTCTTGTCCGTAACCTTCGTTCTGGCTTTTGGAGAGGTAACTCATTCTCAATAGATTATAGTTTGGCTTCACTCTTTAAGTGGTGAACCGTGTTATTAAGTTAAAGAGGATATGCTAATTAAATTGTCTTATCCAGGTTATTCCTCAAGCCATATGTACAAGATATGGATTAGCAGTTGGTGCTAGCTTGGTATGGCTAGTTCGAATTTTAATGATCATCTGCTATCCTATTGCTTATCCTGTTGGCAAGGTAATTCTTTATTGATATAAATCATGCTTAATGTCATGACATGATTTAGAAAATATATTGACCACAAAAAAGAAGAAAGAACTTATAAGAGTGTGGAGTTAAACTCATTAAATGTTCAAACTTATAAACTAACATATCTTTATTAGTATTTTTGACCTTTTTTTACTTCTTGAGCTGTTTAGTGATAAACTTAGAGCTTGTATTTAGCATGTTTAATATTTAATTAATGCAATGAAATCCTAATCTTTTGATATATGAACCATTTACTTTTTGATTGATAAATACTAATAAAATGTGGTTTCACTATGCTAAGAAATTGCAAAACTTCTCTAATATAATTGCTTTGGACTTAGAATAACCTCCCTCCATGGTACTTAAAGGTTAATAAAGGATTGAATCCTATATTACAATAGAAAGAACTTCCAAACCAAACTAAAATAGATGGAGAACCAAGAATTTTTATCCTCTTTTTGGTTTTATCACTTTGATTGCATGCTCAGATTAAATACTGTATTGTGAAACTACCACTACATTACAATAAAATGAACCCCAAAATCAAACTAATATAACTCGAGAAGTTCCTGCTCATTTGGTTTTGTCAATATGATATGCATGCTTAGGTTAAGACAATGTACTGTAGAAACTACAGCATCAATGTTTGAGTTTGCCTATTTTTCAAAAGAATATAATGCATCAGAGTTTTCCAACTACAAACATAGAGTTAACTTATGCAGTTGCATTTTATAGGCTAAATACTAATTTGTTCAATTACTGGATAGTTCAGTAACGATAATGAGGAGCCTTTCTCATACATCCTTGTTTTTGCTTTTGAGTTTGAAGTATCGTATAGTTGGTCCATCGTTGTCAAAGCATTTTTCTGGTAAAATGGCTCTCATGTGTCTGCAATTAAGACCAAGGTTCACAGTCTCAATCAAAATTGCTTCATTTGGCAATTTGACTGTGCAATTCTAGTCTCTTCTCTCTGTAATTGGATATTCTCAGGCAGAAGAAGAGTCTTGGTGATGTGTGTATATATAACACAAGAGTTCAGTATTTAGATTGTCTCCTAAAAGCAAGCCTGCTTTTAAATTAATCTGGCAAATGTTTTAAAAACTTTATGTTGTTATTGCTAATTTTTCTAATAAGTTACCAAATGGGAAAATGGAGGAAACCTAACATCCATTAGTCATTCTATTGTTGACATCCTTGTTTGCAGCCGATGGTAACATTAGGTAGTGCTCTTTGACTATGACGTGACGACCTTATTCTTCTCCAGGACTTCAAAGGTTGAGTGAGTTTAGTGAGATTATCCTAAAGATTGTATTGGAATTTTTTTGAGTCAGTTACCTCTTTTTCCTTCAATCCCTTTTGTTCTCTTTAGCTCTACTTTTCTTTTGGATGAGATGGTCTAAGCTATCTGCATCTGCCAAAGGCAGTGTTTATGCTTATCAAAGAGCATATGATAACATGTTCTGCCATTTCTGCATGGTACTTTTTAGGGTATCCTAGTTGCAATCATATGTTGCTATTTTCTTTCTTAAAATCATTTGCATGAAGTTGCTGAATATTCTTTGTTTTCTTTAAATGGAGCTATGTTTGAATTGCTTCTAACAAGTGTATGTGGATTCAGATTCTAGATTGTGCACTTGGACATAATGAATCTGCACTTTTTAGACGTGCTCAATTAAAAGCTCTTGTCTCTATCCATGGCAAGGAGGTAGAGTTAGTCGTATTCCTGAATAAATATGTATATGTGTCATTTGTATTAATTTTAGTGCTTCCAATCATTTCAGGCTGGTAAAGGTGGTGAGCTCACGCATGATGAAACTACAATTATTAGTGGAGCACTTGATTTGACCGAAAAGGTATACCTAATCAAGTTCATATTTGTTTCATTCTCTTCTATAAAGCTAGTGTAGTCTTATAATCTTACAAGAAGGAACGGGGAAAGCTCCTAGGTCTGTTTGTTTAAAATGGTAACTTTTAGAAATTAAATGTTTCAGGAAGAGATGTCATTGGTTGTTCATGTTCAATTGCTTTGATCAAACCCAGTTGGGCGAGGCCCGAGCACCTCCAATCAAATCCAGTAAGGCATTTGGACGTAGTCGTCTCTTAGGCGTGCGCTCGAGGCTAGGCGTTGGCCACACGAAGCACACACTCAAACCTAGTGGCAACCTGAGTTGAATTCAATCAATTGGGTTGAACCAATTAAATTGGTTACCTTCCTCTGCACTCTCTCCCTCGTCATGACCTTGACTCAATGCATCCTCTTATTGGAAAACCCCAGGTATCCGACCTTGTGTGGAAGGCAGTCGTCGATGATCGACTCACATTCTTCTGTGTAAGGCAATTGGCAAATGACTAAACATCAATAATCTCCTGGACATGGTGGGTGGTGTCTTTCCTCTCGCAAACCACAATGATGGTGCCTTTCCACAATGGTACCTCCTCTCTCTTGCTTAGCTCTCACTCTCTCTCTGCCTTCCTGCTCTCTCTCCCTCCTTCTCTTTGATGGTGTAGCAGCCTCTCTCCCTCCTTTTCTTCCTTGCTTTTACTCTCCCTCTTCTTTATGATTCAACCCCCCCACCCCCTCTCTTTTATCTGCAGCTCCCTCCCCTCCTCTCTACCTCTCTCTTTCTCTCGACAACTCTCTTTGCCTCTCTTTTTTCAGATAGCCCACTCTGCCTCCCTCTCTTTCTCTACCTCTTTCTTTTTCTCGGTAGCTCTTCCTCTTTCTTCGTCCTTTGCACCCTATCACTATGAACCCCATGCTACCTATTGTTGTCAGCCTCCTCGGCTCCCCTTGCTTTGAGCCCATATCCTTGCCTTCCCTTCCTCTTTTTCACTGCTTTGAGCCCCTATCTATGCCTTCCCTTGCTCTTAGCCTCCCTCCCTTGCCTTCCGTACTCTCTGCCAACCTCCTCTTGATCTCAACCCCTAAAGGGCATACCTAGTGTACAAGGTTCCCGCCAACACGTTGTCTGGGAAGGGTTAATGTATGTATTTTTTACTTCTAAATATTTAAAGAAAATTTATTTTTCATGACTCAAACTCTAGTGTACCAGTTCATATAAGAGCAACCTTACTATTGTACTAAGGCCCACCTTGGTCTTGATCTTAGCCCTTCCATTGCAGAAGTATGTTAATTTTTGTTAATAATATTGTAGTAGTTGATTCTTGTTGATAATGATCTGTAAATTGTATTAATTACTTAATTTATCAGGATTTTTAATTATCACTCTAATTTTAGGATCATGAATTTTGAATTGTGTTAACTCTTATTTTGTTTTGTTATTTCCGTTATTAGATTTAGACAATTTAGTGCTTTAATGCTTTCTAGATGGTTAAATGGAATTCAATGTTGTAGTGGTGATATTTTTAATATAAAATGACATGGAACTCATGGATTATCTTATTTCTCTTTTAATGATTATCTTTCTCCCTATACTTTTTAACTTTTTATATTGTTTGAGCGAGCCAGATCTTGCGTCTTAGGTGTTTCGGAACCTTGGTGTCTTTGATAACACTGGATTCAGGGGATCTAAAATCATATTCACAAATTTGTATAAATATAATAAGGTGATTGTGATTTTCTTAGTCTCCTGTTATGGTGGGTTTATGGATTTATTGACCAACGGTGATTTCAACATGATTATCATATAGTAGTTTCTTGTAGGATGATCATGAGCTTATGAATTGTTTTGCATACCATGAATTGATATACCACCCATACTGGGTCGTATGTACCAGTCCAACAGAGGACTGGTGCAAGGTCCTCATGGATAGTATGTACAATTTTTTATTCATTATAATATTTTTCCCCAATTTTTTAATCAATGCTACCCAGTGATGCTGGTTGTGCATACTTTACAAGTCCAACATGTCAGATATTGGGCTGGTACCCAATGTTGAAACCCTTGTATTAAGACTAGCTGTAGAATTAACTTCAGGACTAAATATTCAGTTAATTACAAAAGTGTCTTCCGCAATGGTGGGAGGCTGCAATGGGCTGCCCCGTTGCAGTTTGGTACTTATCTGATGATATTCTTTGTTTGTTTTTTTTTAAGAGAACAAAGTAAACAAAACCCAAGGCCTTAGAGTCAGCATGCTTTTCTTTCTTCTTGGGAGTTTATTTTAGCATGTTAATCTGCCACATATATGTGGTTTCTGAATGACTTGTCACTTCAAAACTATGTACTGCTTTTTAAAAGTGTTATTATCATTAGCATGGGTTCAAAATTCTAACAATTTGCTCTCATATGTAGACAGCTGAGGAGGCTATGACACCCATTGAGTCGACATTCTCATTAGATGTCAATTCAAAATTAGACTGGTGAGATTTGTTACATGTATAAATTTCACTTTTTAAGTAATAATTATGTTTTTCTTCTTTCTTTCATGGAGATGTATCAAAATTAACTTTTTGAGATCTTAATCAACAATTTATTGCTTGTGAACTCTTTCATTGATTATACCTCTCCCTGTATTGGCATGTTTTTTTTCAAAAGAAAAGAAATTATAAATTAATTAGGAAAAGGAAGTACATAAAAAAGTAGGAGCAGTGGAATCTATTCTCCAAAAGCAGTAAACCAAGTGGATTTTCCCAAAAAAAGCTGACAAGTAGGCATTTACATTTAGATCTCTAGGAATATGAGAAATATTGAGCATTTTAAGCATTCTAAATCGGTGCTGAAGGTCGAGAATAATGAACTTCAGTTGCCATGGAATCTCTTCTTGAAGATTGATGTACTCGATGATGTTGACAACATCTAAATAAGTAATTAGATGGTGTAATGAAAGAGATTTAACAAAATTGAGAGCTTGTGGTAGTGCAGTATCTTCACCCATAGCTGGACTTGAGACTTGTAGAGGGAGATGAGACACCACAATGTTGCGAGTGTCTGGAGATTTGAAAATGAATCTAGCTGCTGCTGAGCCATCTGTAAAATTAAAAGAAGCATCACATTCTAAAATAATAGTAGCAGGGTGGCATATCTGTGTGTACAAAGTAGGTGATGTAGGAGAAGATAAAAATTGTTCCTCGGAGTGATAAGTTGTTGCTCTGAAATTCGTCATAAAGGGGACAACTTTTGAGAATAGAAATAGATCCTTTGATTTATGGTTGCGAAATCTAGCGTGATTTTTATTTAACCAAAGGAATCATAGTGTATTGCCTATGAGTTTGAGAATCCAAGATTTAGAAGAGTGAAGGAGGTTGGTGCCTTCCTCAAGCCATGCACCTTGGTACCAAAGGTTAAATTGAGAGAAAGTAATTCCCAAGTGAGATGGAAAGAGATTCCAAACCTAAAAGCAAAAGGGCACTCGAAGAAAATGTGAGTAATAGAATCATGTCCAAGACCACAAACATGACAACTTTCAGGTTTACTATGCATGATGGAAGAGATATAGTCAGAAGTTTGGAGTCGATTCCAACAAAGTTTCCAAGTGAAGAGTTTGACTTTGGGTACCACTTTCAAATGCCATATCGTCTTCCAACCAAACAAAGGTGGTTCAATGTCATGTTATGTGACCTCAAAATACCTGTTTTATTATCCATTATCATGTTTGATTTCAAGATCAAGGTGCATTTAAGCTCTCATTTTTTTGACCAGAACCTGACTCTTGAGTAATATGGTAGGCCATCTTGATTTGTTATAAGTGCATGCTTTATATTTCTAGTTTTAATTTAAGATATAGTTGGAACTTGGAAGGATAGGAGTCATATGCTATTATCGAGGTGATGCATATATAATGAACCCTGTACTGGTCCAATGAGATCGGTGCTGATTCTGTAAGACCCTCAGGTTCAGGAGCTTAGCTATCAACGTAGGGTAAAGAAACTATACAGTATGCATAAGTCCATCAAAAAAATGTATACATAAGTCTAAATATTGAGCACTGGATTTTGAGCCTGTTATTCCTTTTTGCTTCTAAAGCTCAAATTAGCTCACATGTATGATCCTATTAAATTTAGCAGCTCATTTGAGTTATTCTGCAAAAGTAGATTTCAAATATTGAGCACCTCATTTGAGTTATTCTGTAAGACCCTCAGATTTAGGAGCTTAGCTATCAACATAGGATAAAGAAACTATACATACGTCTAAATGTTGAGCACTGGATTCTGAGCCTGTTTTCCTTTTTGCTTCTAAAGCTTAAATTAACTCACATGTATCGTCATGTTAAATTTAGCAGCTCATTTGAGTTATTCTGCAAAAGTAGATTTCAAAATTTATCACCCTTTGTTGAGGCTACAGTTAAAACTCTGGTTTATTTACGCCAAAGGAACAGAAAGGGCTTCATAATGTGTGCATTGGTTGTCAGTGTGATACTGTGATTACATTTCTACTGCATTATGGTTCTTTTTGAAGTACACACCTTAAACCAGATATCAGGATTAATCAAATATAATATTTATCAAATTAAAATAAGCAGAAAATTACTGATGTTATGTTAGAGCACAAAATGACAAAGAGTTGCAATAAAGAAGTGAATTTTGGAGAGAATTAGAGAGAAGAAACAGACAGGATGGGAAATGGTTGCCTTCTGCCTAACAAAGTTCCATTTTTCATACTGTGGAAAATCACCAGCCAAACAACTCTTCTTCTTATGATACATACTACTACTAGACCTTCTAGAACTCCTGAAAGTTTAATTAGATAGCAAACCAATGACTCCTTTCCCTTTTAATGCCTAACCAAACTGAAGTCAGAATACAGTGAGTTGGACCTTCTATATTATCATGGACATTCTGAAAATTCTTTTAAGAGTATGTGAAAAAGAGGAAACAACACCCTGCTCTGATGACTGAAATCCAAAAGTATAGACTCAACCTACATCTAACCTCATCTCTTGTTTGTACAAAATGTCTCCTTTACATCATATGATGCTGTCATGATGCGTCAATTAAAGATGTGCAAATATCAGCTTGATCTATTTTCCTTAGTTATAAATATATACTAATCATGGGCTTCCTATTTGTTAAAGCTTAATTAAAATATTTTTCTTTGTAGGATTCAGCAAAGTTCATGTTGTCAATGAGGAACTTTGAACTGGATCTGTGGCTTCTTGAATATAACCTTGATATATGAAAATTTTGAAAAATCTAATACTGGTGGTGCTTCAGATGTCCACTCTTGCTTATTCTTACTCATGAATCATGATATAAAAGAGGCTTTATCTATATTTAGCTTGTATTCAATGGATCAAATGGCATGCAAAATTTGGCTTTTTTTTATTATGTTCAGATCATCTTTCTAGTGTTAGATATAGATCACATGCAAGATGATTATCCAGTGCTGTATTTTGTTCATCATCTCTTTTGTATTTATGATTAGATCTACATTCTTTAAATCAAAATAATTTGTCATTTTTGCGTCAGTCAATATGGTTGGTTCATTTTGGATGAATCCGCATCTTTGGCAGAAGTGCAAGTGGGTCTTTTGACCAATTGATGCAACCCAAGTAGTTCCTAGGGATCATCTTCTTAACTAAAGATCAACATCAACCATTTAGAGAATTTGAGTGATAAATCAGAACACAGTGGTTCATTTATAAAAGAGGAGCAAGAAGATGAAGATTAGTTGTAACATAAAACATTAGGAGGAGGGATTGAGGAAGATGAGGGAGGTTGCTTGCTCACTTTCCTTTTATTAGTGAAAAACTTATTTGAAATAACCATATTTATCGTCTGGAAGGAGTAAAACAATAACAACAAAACAGTAAGTCCCAACTATTTGGGGTCGGTTACATGAATCTTTTGTCACTATTAAGATTTGCAAAAGTCATATGTTTAGTTAAGTTCAAGGTATTTAAATCTTTATTTATAGTTTCTATTGAAGTCTTTTTAAGTCGTCTTCTATCTCTTTTCGTATTATCAACATTAATCATTTCACATCTTCTGACTATTGTGTCTGGAGGTCTCTAAAGCATATGTCCATATCATCTTAAACAATTATCTCATCTTATCTTCTATCAAAACGATATCTAGTTGTTCACAAATAATAGTATTTCTTTTTCTATCTTTACTAGGAACTTGACTTATCCATCTCAATATTCTTATCTCGGCAACACAAACTTCTTTTATATGTTGTTTCTGAATTGCTCAACACTTGGATCCATATCATCTAGCAGGAGTAAGCATAAAAAAAAAGAAATAAACAGACTGAAAACCAAATTTGTAAATAATAATCAGACTCTATTTTCACTCATGTTGAAACATAAGAGACTTTTTTTGGACTTTTAAACTAATTAACAACCAGTTCACTTATCTTTATTTGGGCTCCTACAGGCTACAGGTACTCAAAACTTAATTGAATTATAATGTAGTATCCACCATGAGTTGTTGATAATATCAGAAATCCAATACTGGATTCAGGAGTGATATAACACGGTTTTAAATATATAAAAATATCAACCTTCATATCCTAACCTCTTGACCACATTAATACTGCTATTGATAACCTTGATCATAAGCTTCTAAGTGATGTATGGTGCCTAGAAAGATGACAAGGTGCAGTATGTAGTAATCTTTTTAGACAAGTTGTTTAGCTGCTTAAAGTTGTTTTAAGATTATTTTTGGTGTATAACTTGATGTAAATGTCTGATTAATTGGAAAATTTCTTATTATAGGGAAGCTATTGGCAAAATCCTTGCTCGGGGCCACAGCCGAGTCCCTGTTTATTCAGGAAACCCAAGAAACATTATAGGCCTTCTGTTGGTGGGCATCGGTTTTCATATTTATTCTTGGTTTTGTGCCACAGAAGATCCTATTTTGTAACTATGCACTTGGTCTGTTTCTCATTTGACATATCTGCTTTTGTTGGATCAGGTGAAAAGTCTTCTTACAGTTCGTCCTGAGACTGAAACACCTGTTAGTGCCATTTCTATAAGACGGATCCCAAGGTCTTTATCAAGTACTGTTATGCTTATGTGCTTAACATGGAACTCTATGCTCATATCTGGAATGTTTCAGGGTTCCAGCAGACATGCCTCTCTATGACATACTAAATGAATTTCAGAAAGGAAGCAGTCATATGGCCGCTGTAGTGAAAGCTAAAGTGAAAACTAAGAATATCCTACCTTCTGATGGTGACAAATCTGAAGAAAACAAAGAACCAAGTGGAGAGTCCAAACTGACGACTCCTTTGTTATCTAAAACAGAGGAAAAGTCAGATAGTGTTGTCGTTGATGTTGACAAGTGCCAAAATAAACAGGTCAATGAGAGTAAACCTACAGCTTTGCAACAGAATAATATGACAGCGAAAGTAGTCGCTCGTCTATCAGAAGATACTGAAGATGGGGAGGTTATTGGTATCATAACCCTTGAGGATGTTTTTGAAGAACTCTTACAAGTAAAGCTCAAAACTCTTTCCATGCTATTTTTTGGCTGGCTTAGTTTTACTTCCTTGGGTAAACAACTATCATAAGTTCATATTATGAAGTGGTAGTTATGGTGAGATAGCATGGAAATGTTGTTTATAAAACAAAGTTCTTTATTTTAACTTTTGATGATACACTCAGATTATTTTAGATCTGTTAGCTTGTCATAAGGTGGAGTATATTGAATTTTATAATTGTAGTTGTTTAATCATGTACATAACATTCCACATGGAGGAAGAGATAATCTGTTAGCTTGTCATAAGGAGGAATATAATGAATTCTATAACTGTAGTTGTTTAATCATGTACATAACATTCCACATGCAGGAAGAAATAGTGGATGAGACAGACGAATATGTTGATGTTCATAAAAGGTATTAATGCCAGTTTTTGGTGCCAGGTGATTTATCTTTTTCTCTCATCTAGTTCACCATAGGACCTTGCTTTCCTCAGGATACGCGTGGCTGCTGCCGCTGCTGCTTCTTCAGTTGCACGAGCTCCATCCTACAGGAGGTTAACTAAACAAAAATCAGCAGTGAGTACCTCTACTATCTTCATAATTCCTATTCTGATGTCAGCTTAAAGAAACACAGAAAAATCTCAGCAGGTTAACACCTGCAGTAAGTATATTGAAAATTTCAGTTTCCATTGTCTAAAATTAATCTTTTAAAGTTTACAATATTAACTTTTCACACATCCCCTTATAATCAAGGACTGAATTTCATGACAAGGACTTAGAAAATACTTTATGTAAGTCATAATTTGTTCTAGAAGAAACTGGCTTTAGCTAATTATGGTAGCTTGAGATGGTTTCAATGATGCAAAATGTCTGTTTCAAGTGTTAAACCTTTCTTTTGTTCTCTTCCAGGGAGCTTTAAATCGGCAAGGACAACAGCCCACTGGAATCCTAAAGAAACCCACCGAAGCTGATTTGCATACTTCACGACATCAAGTGAATCTTGTGGAACCAATATCAGGAACCAAGAGATAACACACTCGCCTAAAATTTTGTCAAAGCTACGTTTATGATCTCACTCATGCCACCCGTGAGTGTAATTGTTGCTCGTTGGGATGTAAGTAGCAAATGTGCTTTTAACTTGGAACATTGCTATATGGTTACTGGGCATGCATAATTTTTCCAGCATTTGGTCTGTAGAAGCACTATAAATATTGAAGTTGGAACAAAGGAACGTTTTTCTTGTATATGGTGACGTTGGATACTTGGTAGAATTTATGAATATTTTTCTATGCGTTGCCACCGGTAATTCATGCTGGATAGCTGATATTTGTTAGCATATTTACAGGAAATTGCGTCCATGGTGACTAAGTACGGAAGCATTTGTGCAATATGCAAATTATTGTTAGCATATTTACAGGAAATTGAATCATTAATCCAATTGTGCAATATGCAAATAATTGTTAGCAAAGGCGTGTTCAAAGAAAATGTGCAAGGACATCCGAAGCATTGGAGACCATTTAGATGTCCTTCCGTAGCTTCTCTTAATCGATAGGAGACATTCTTACTGGTTTTGAAGCAAGAGAGCATTAGGCAAGGGGATTATTGGAACGGTTCCGAATACATACTATACTGATTGAGACGACAAAGCGCAGCAACATGTCATCGAAGCAAGTCGTCACTGCTGATCTTTTAAGATGCTGATACATGCTGTGATGATAACCCGCCATGGCCTCCCGCCGCCTTGCATTTCCATCGGGAACTCACCATCAATGGTACGATGAGTTAGTGACAGACACTCTTTCATCTCAGCCACCCATCCCATCCCAGTGGTCCTCACAGCTCCCACTCATATCACACTCCACACTCCAAAGTGACGGGTTATAGATTTGGACGGCTGCGCCTACGATAGTTTATTTGTTTATTTGATTTCTCTTTAAGTCTTGATCAATACAGTTCTTTGTCTTTGTACAACATTGGATTGGCTCCTCTTGTGAATAGTACATGTTGATCCTTTATGTTGCTTCTCTTTAGTGCTTTACTTACTATGTATTGAGAATTTGCACAGTCATGCAAGTGTATTAGGCCAATGACCCTTTAACCATTGTCTCCATGTCTCTATGCAAATGTCGAAAGTTAAATTGATGTCCATGTATAGGAATTGACATGCAAGTTATACAACATTATTATTAATCCATATGTTTCTTCAACACATTCAACCATTTGTAATATGTATAATCTGGATGCAATTTGGCTGCTATCAATATCACAAATGTGCGACGAAAATTTTAGTTATTGTTTTAGTCATTAAACTCTAGTGTGTGAGGAAAATAATAGAAGATACGAATAATTATTGTAGAAGCTTTATTGAAGAAGAAGTGAAAAGCTTTATTGAAATAACTTTAACTTGAATACATTAACATGTCCCTCTCCTATTTGTACAGGAGAGAGGATTTTCCTCAACAGAATAAAGGATTTTCCTCAACATAGTAGATCAACATAGTAGAAAAATTTTCTCAAATCATACATATATCACCAAATAATATTTTGAAAAGAGTAATATAGAGGTATGAAAAGAGTATAATTTTGAAAGAGACAAAAAGCAATATTTTTATATGTGACTCATATGAGAAAATTCATATATAATTTTTAGAATCACTTATGAAAAAACAAGATATTCATGTATGGTCATTAAAACACAAATCTACGGAGACGACCCATGATATGTGAGTTTGTTGAAATCTAGATTAAAGGGACATACTTCTTGGCTCATTCTATTCATTCAATTAGATGCATATTTCACTAAATAAAATTAAATCTTTGAAAAGATATCTCTCGCACAGTAAATGCACAAAATATCTTTATTTATTTAAAATATTATATTTTTTGTGAGTGACTATTGAAATATTTAAGGAAAATATAAACTTTTAATATATCTTTCTTTGATTTATTTATTTATTTATATATTTTGTTTAAGATTTGTTACTTTACTATTTATTGCATGTAGCAGAAGTGATTCATGCCTTTGGGTTATTTTTAATCTTTCCTCTTAAGTTTAATATCCTATTATTTGATTAAACACTGCTTATCGAAATATTTTTGTTCTTTCAATTTTAATCTAAAATTGTGAAGAACACGGGACGTTCTTGTCACTTTCAATGGCTGATTAGCTTCAATGATTGCCATACACACGTCCCTTCTCCATTAATACCCACTCGGTAGCAACAACATTTTGAAGAGTATCCTTCCTTGACTGTTCCTTCAAATTTAGACAATCAATTACTAGACAAAAAAATGGTCAAAATGATAGCTGCATGACCAATTGAAGGCTTCTCAACTTGCTCTCTCTCTCTCTCTCTCTCTCTCTGTTGTATCGATGTAGATGGAACATTATTGATGAGGCTTTTTTACATAGGCAAAGAAAAAAATGTTGTACATGGGAAATCCAATAAAGAACATTTCTTCTTAGGTTAACGGGTAGAAATCAATTAACATTTGCATCCGCATCAGAAAAATCCGAGAGAGTCAGATTCATGTGAGCAAAAAGTTTGTGACAACGCACATTTTACCCAATCATACCCGACCCCACTTGAATATAAAAAAAGATTCCGATGGACACGTCAAATCCATCATTACGGTAAAATGTATATCAATTTTGACTATTCATTACGGTAATAATAATATGGAGGAGAGTTAAAAAGGGGATGCATTGCACAGAGACTTCGATTTTTGAACAGAAGCATACCCTCTCCCCTTCCCCACTTGGCCTTTTGGGCCCTCTCGCTTCTCTGTCATTTCATGCAAGTCATGGCTACAAGGAACACTTAATTCTTCTTCCTCCTCGCTTGCTTCTTCCAAACCCATCACTCCAATCATCTCAACTTTACTTGTGAGATCACTTCCCATTAGGAAGAAACCCGTCTCCTCCGAGGAAACCCTCTTCCCCCCGGTCTTTCAAATCCTTGATGCCACTTCTTTGCCTTTGATCCCCACTCGAGTCGTGTCGAGGGTCGATTGCCGACATGGGCTGCGTGCAGAGCAAGTGCTATGGCCGCTGCGCGAGGCTCTGTTGCTGCCACTACCAGCCCTCCTCCTTGGCCACCGACGACGCCGGCGAGGGCGCTGACTCCTTCAGGATCCACGAGACTGACTCCCCGCAGCGCCGGGGGCTCTCCAGCGCGGGCGGCTCGCTCGGCTCCGCCACCGTCCCTTCCGCTGGTCTCTGCCTCCGTTACGCCTCCCTCACGCAGCGCGGCTACTACCCCGACTCTCCCGACCGCGCCAACCAGGACAGCTTCTGTGTCAGGACCAACTTCCAGGCCAACCCCGACCTCCACTTCTTCGGTGTCTTCGATGGCCATGGCCCGTTCGGCGCTCAGTGCTCCGACTTCGTCCGCGACAAGCTCGCAGACATCTTGGCCAGCGATGCTCGCCTGTCGGAGGACCCCATTAAGGCCTATCAGCCCGCTTTTCTGGCAACTAATTCCTCGCTGCACGACAGCGAGATCGACGATTCGATGAGCGGCACGACCGCTATCACTGTTCTTGTCAGTGGTGGAGCACTTTATGTGGCGAATGTGGGGGATTCACGGGCGGTGGCTGGGGTTTGGAATGGGAACCGCGTCGTGGCCGAGGACTTATCGAGTGACCAGACGCCGTACCGGAAGGATGAGTATGAGAGGGTGAGGCTCTCCGGGGCGAGGGTGTTGTGCGTTGATCAGGTGGAGGGGATGATGGATCCTGACATACAGAGCTGGGGCGATGAGGAGGACGGCGATGGGGATCCACCAAGGCTGTGGGTGCAGAATGGCATGTATCCTGGCACGGCGTTCACGAGGAGTGTGGGAGACTCGACAGCCGAGAGTATAGGGGTGATTGCCATTCCGGAGGTTAAGACTGTGAAGATCACACCAAACCATCTCTTCTTTGTCGTTGCAAGTGATGGAATCTTTGAATTCCTATCAAGTCAAGCGGTGGTTGACATGGTAAGTCTGCGAGATGACTGCTTCACATCACTTTTGCTTCCTGCTTGTATTGCCAATTACATTGTTTCGTGCTGCTATGGATACTAGTTGATGCGTGTTTGTAAGCTCAGTTCCCTACTAAAATGAATGCAATAATTTAAATATTTGAAATAGTAATTAGAAAGGCTACAATTCTTCTGTAGTTGACATTTGACAATGCTTTAAAATACACAGAATTAGTTTTTTTTTCCTTTTCAAGTAGACCCTCTAAGAGTTTATTTTAATTTGACAGTCTTTGTTTCAAGTGAACTACCCTCACTGGTAAAAAAAAAAAGAAAAAGAAAGAACCTCACTAATACATCTTGTTATCTGTTATGATGCTATAGAACACCAGGGATGTGGAACCACTTGAGGTAGTGGGTCGGAAAAATTGATAGGTCAACAAGGATTTCTTAGAAGGAAAGGAGATCAAGGACTGATAGAACACTTAGATGTGAGACAGCAGGGGAGGGCTAACCATTAGATGTTTCTTTACTGAGGCATGCCACAAGTGGTTAGCTCTTACAAAAGATGTTAGGCTTCTTTCTTCTTGGAAGTGTAGAGAGTGGTAGCCATCATATCTGATCCTGTGCAATGAGCCTACGAGATGCATTTTAGGGATTGATTTTTTTTTTATGCCATGTACCTGATGACTTTTTCCTTTCCCTATAAAGGTAGTTGTGGTGACTAGAAAAAGGTCTGCAATAGATTATTAGAAAGGTTAACATCATGTGGTGCTTTTTGTATGTGACTAAAAATTACTTTTGGTAGGATTCAGAGAGGATTTTGCTAGACTTGATTTTGTATGCTATACCCAGCACAGGTATTTTAGATACTGAATGAAAATATTTTGTAATTCAGTAGCTGACTTCGCTTCATATCACATGTTCTTTGGCAATATATTCATTGGGGAAGAAAACCCAACTTGAGTTGCAGATTCCTATATTTAATGGATTTCTTTTAGATCATCAGTGAATTATAGTACATAATCTGATTTCTTTGAGATTATAGAATTTGATCCATAGCCCTTTAAACTTCAGTACCTTTTCCATTGTTTTTTTTTTAAAAGGAAAAGTCACTATACTGCTTTAATCAGTAAGTAAACGAGGTTGAGTCCAAGCATCATCACCCGGGAACAAAAAGGGCAAAGATTGTGATCTACCAAAAGTTGACAAGTGGCTTATATTGTTAGATGATCTAGGCAGATGAGAAATCTTAACAACTTTGAGCTTGGAAATAAAAAGGAAAACATCAGAAAATAAATTCTGCAAAAAACCAGAGAATAGGATAAATTACCATGACAAAATTGTTTCGTTCTTTTGTATCAAATTTGATCCAAATAGAGGTGTATTAGGGAGTTTGCAGCTTTTAGACCCTCCGCTAGGGCCATAGTCTCGGCCATCAACGGATTGAATGCGCTGCGACATCCACCTCCAACCCAGATTGGTTCATTGTGGGGGGTCTTTATACAATAATCAGCCATGCAGGGAGGTCAGCCGAGAGAAAAGAATCGTCAGTCTCAAGCACAAAATCAAAATTAACCTGTTCATCATCCAGGTTTTCACTAGGCCCCTCATCAGAGCCTTTAGGGTTATAGATGGACTCACAAGCATCATAGGCAGTTACCATCACCCTCCTCAAAAGGGAGGATGGACCGGTAAGGTGGTTGCCATGTATGGCATCGTTGTGATTGTTCCACAAAAATCAAAGGGAGGTGGCAATAATGGATACAATTCTTAGTCGAGAAGTCTTATCAAGAAGGGATCTTCCTCAATCCAGTTACCTAAAAACCAGGTGGGAAGAAACTGAAATCAGAAATTTAAAAACTGCTGCAATAATTCCCAGTAGCTTTGTGCAAATGCACATTCAAAGAAAAGATGCCGAACAGAATCGACATGTAAATAACAGATGAAGCAGTGTTCTTGTTGGTTGTGGAGTATGTTGGAGATGAAGCCAGAAGTAGGGAGGCAGTTTCGAGAAAGTTTCTAAAGGAAGACTGATTTTGGGAGCAATGGAAAGATGCCAGATCGCCTTCCAACCCTGCCAAGGTTCATTCGAGGTGTAGTATTTGATCAAGTGCTTGTAAGCACTACTGATTGTGATGGTGCCTGTTGGGTTGAGAGTCCATACCCAAGAGTCATTGTTAGGGTAAAGAGGGAGGTGAATGGCCTGGGTACGACTCACAAGTAGGGAATGAAATAAGACCTCAAGTGTGGTAGAGTTCTAGTGACAGTTAGAAACAAGATCCGAGACAAACATATGACCTCATTTCATTCACCTTGATAAAGGTGGGCCATTTGTTGAAAGGTATATTATCCAGCCAGGGGTCTTCCCAAATTTTGGTGGAGGAGACATTACTAATAAGTTTTCGAAACCCATCATGGATGCTGGTGGTGAGTTTGAGGATGGATTTAAAGGAAGGAGAGGATTTCCTAATGTTAGAGGGTTCCAAGGGTGAATAGTATCATATTTGGATTGGAAGATCTTGACCCAAAGAGTGTTTTCTTGGTTCAAGATAGGGACAATCCTCTTAGCGCCAATGGCTTTCTTAACATAAATGAGGTCACGGATGCCCAGATCTCCCTGCTCCTTAGGAAGAGTCATGTTTTCCCAACTAATGAGATGCATCTTGTGCTTGCTTTGGGAATTATTCCAAAAGAAATCATGTGTTAATTTAGAGAACTTGGCTAATAGTTTATCAGAAATTCAAGAACTAGAAGGATATGGATGGGAAGAGAGTTGACGATAGAGTTGATGGGGACCGGCTTTCTAGCTTGCGATAGTAAATCTTTACACCACCTTGTCAATAAGAGAATTTTGGAACCTATCATAAAGTTTGTCTTTAGACAAATAGGATCCCAAGTATTTGAAGGGCCATGTACCTTCCTTAATACCCAAGGAGTTACTTATGTGATGTTTGATTTCAGCCTTATATTGTATAAGGAAATAAATGTTAGATTTGGCTCGGTTAACTTTGAGGAAGGATAGATTAGAGCAAATTTCAAGGATTTTGAGGATACAATTGTAAAATTTATGATTAGCCTTGAAGGAAAGCAGGAAGTCAATCGCAAGCATTTGATGGGAGATCTTGGTTCCCTTAATGTTGAAAGGAATAACCTAATTGTTCATGATAGTCTACGATACGAGGGAGGAGAGAATTTGTTGGACCATGATAAAGAGGTAGGAGGAGAGTGGGTTTCACATCCCATATTTATAAAAAAATAATAAATCATTGTTTTATAATTTATAGAATACATTTCTTTTTTTTCATCATTGAATTCAAATCCTTGTCTTTATAATAGTAAATATTTTATTAACTAGAAAAATAGCCATGTCTTCTTGATAGAGCCTCAAGTGTCAAAAAAGTCTCTTCCACCCAAGCCTCAGATATATTACAAAGTAATAGATTACTCTGAAAATAAATATAAGATGAAAACATATCAACAACACACATGCTGATAGGAACCTCTGAAAAATCATAAAAATAATCTTTAATATTCATGAACGTATACAAATATCAATAATTTAATATAAAATCATAATATATCGATTTATTATAATACTTATACATTAGAAAAATAATGATAATTCTTATGTAATAAACAAAATTATACATCAGCCACATACAACACATATATAATAATTAGATAACAAAGACATACATCATACTCGATGGTGCACTCTCCCAATAATGGATTGAGAGACATACTCTACGGGATGGATTCCTCCTAATAGTAAATGGAGAGAACCCATATCGCACTCTGAACAACGGATGGAGTGGTATCCCTCACCCGCTCAAGTGGGAACACATTTCTCCCAACAGTGGATAGAGGAATTGTCCAACCGCTATGTTTGACGGCCTGTTAATCCCCGAAGGGAATCGTCCTACCTGCCCTCGGCAGGGAAATAATATCATCTCATATTGGTTATGTCTATATCGGGATGAAATAACATATTAAAACATTTCTTTCAAACATCATTAATGTCAAATAATGTCAATTAGCCCTTAATTGACTTGATTCCTAGTTAAATCGATCCAATTGAACTCGATTTAAGTAGAACTTAGTTGAACCGATCCCTAATCCTCATTTAACTGGTCTGGAACTATCCTAGACTAGTATAATTTGGATTAGATTAGGTTTAGTTTAGGTTAAACAAACTTGAATAAGTCAAACCAATTCGGAATCACCCTGAATCGATCTAAACTAATCAAGTCTGATTTAGTTTAATTAATGTTTGGGCCCTAATCGAATAACTGCATGATACTAGGCTAGGTTGGGCTAGCTAATGTATAAGTCATATGCACTGTACATGACTGTATATACACCATACCAGGCTAGGCTAGCCCATGGTCCATGGGTTGGTCATATGTATCGCACGTGACTGCCCATGTTATGTTTAGCTAAGCTAGCCTACGAGCTAGGGCCTGACTTGCGGGTTGGGCTTGGCCTACTGGCTGGGCCTAGCTTATGGGCTATTTCAACCCATATCATAACCAATTTCTCCAATTTCAAATTATAACATCATGGAATTATTATCAAACATATATATTCATTAGCAATAAGTTGTTAAAACATAACAACGAATTATAAGATAAGATTAAAAGATAAACTGTAATACAAGGAAATGACATTCTTAATTCAAATGTAAAAATCAAATATCATGTATTCAATACATATGACATGAATAGTTTCGACATGTTCTAATCCAAAAATAAAATTCTAAATCTTAAAATATTTTTATAAAATTATCACAACTTAAGCCTGATGAGCTAATTGATCTATCAACTTCGTTTAGTCTAAACCATACCAAAATGCTTAAATTAAACTTATTAATAATATGCTTATCAGACTTTTATAAGTCAATCCTAATCTTGCCCATTTTCGATGTGACTAATCGAGATATTATAATTTTCCCCACTCAAGGGCTTGATGTCCCCGTCAAGGTCCAGCATTGCTCAGATCAAATCCTAACATAGTGCATGGGAAGCGTAGTTCAGTGGTGGCTCCACACCGTGATTAGTCCTCTGACTCCATCCACGGATAGTCCTTTTCTACTCTAGCCCTCTTACCATACCCAAATACTAGGTCGGATCTGATATGAGTCCCCCTATTTGATATCATGAGAACTCTGGGATCTGCACAACTATTCCTCATTAATAAGGCAAGCAAAAGTAGGGGAGGCCGAGATCGATCAGATGAATCTTGTAGGGAAGTTCATAAGTTGAAATGTGAAAATAATGGCTTCCCATGAGATAGAGTCGGAAACTTTCTTGATGTCTAACTTAAGGAGGATGAGAGGTTTTGCTCTTTGATTGGTGCATGGTGTGAATGAATTCATTGGCTATGAAAATATCATCATGGATAACGTTTAACAAAAGCTGATTGTTCATGGCTGATGAGGTTGCTCATGTGTTCTTTTCATATGATCTGAGAGAACATTGGTCAGAATTTTGTAAACCACATTGCAAAGGACACTGGGTCTGTAATCTTTAACGGAGATCACATTAGGAGTCTTTGGTATGAAAACCAAGTAGGTGTGTCCCCAGCTGACCGGTAGTGTAGTAGAGGAGTGGAACTTGTTAAAAGAGTCCAGGAGGTGTCTATTAAGTATATTCTAGAACCCCTTAAAAAATTCAACACTAAGGCTGTCAGAGCTTGGGCTCTTCCCGGTACCCATTTAGGGAAGAGAATTCCTAATTTCATTTAGTGAGAAAGGCTGAATAAGGGTCTGATGAGACTGGTCTTGAAGTCTGGGGAGGGACAAGCACAAAGACCAGTCCAGAGAGGGGGCAGAAGCAGGAATATTCCAAAGTTCAACGTACCAGTGAGCAAAGTGATGGAGAATAGAATCAGCATCAAGGCTGTCTGGTTGAATTGGGCTTTTAATCAGATTAATCCAGTGTTTACATCTTCTGGAAGTGCAGAGATGTTGAAAGAATTTAGTGTTTTTGTCACCATCCCTAGTCAATTGGATCTTGCCGCTGGTAGACCATTTATGGTGAAGTTGCCTGTTGAGGGTAATGAGTTTATTAGTAAGGATTTGAGGACTGGTTAGATCAGTGTTTGTGAGGGTCCATATTTTCTCTCTCTCTCTCCTGTATGTGTACATTTTGCTGAAATGTTGTAGATTGGAATCTAAGGAACTAAATAAGAAACTTATGAGTTGATTCGTTCCTAAAGTGTAAGACTAGATTTATAAGTTAGATGTTTCAGTTCTTGATCATCTTCAGCATCTCTTGCACACTAACATCCTCACTGATTGACTCTATGTTGCAATAGTTTATCATGGCCAATAATTAAGCAAGTTATTGGTCCAATTCTCACCAACCCGATAATCTAGTTCCTTACATCAAGTTGGTGAACTTCCTCGTAGAGATCCAGTTTTGTTAAAGTAGCACTCTGAAGTACCTAAACTATGAAGCCACATGGAGGATTACCATAATTGGATAGTTACCCGTAAACATCACTTTGTTGGGTTTATATTTTATAATCGAAGTTGGACAGAGCATTGGATAGTCGAGTCACAGGATTCTAATTGGATTTGCAAGCACATAAACTCAAATTCCAACATGACCTACATCAGCCAAAACATGATGTTAGGAAGGAGATGACAGCAGAGGGTTTAGCTTCTAACAAGGTTGTGTAATTCAAAAGAGGAAAATGAAAAGAACATTTTCTATATGAAAATTCTAACTCACTGTGAGGTTAAGAGTCATATTAAAAACTGATGCCCTATATTATTCTAGCACCAAATACAAGATTCAAGAGTGATGGTTGAAGATGAAACTGAAGATAATTTATTCCATGGTGACTCTACCATTGCCATTATTGGATTATATTCATAAACAAAGTTTCATATGATTTGACCAATGAGAGAGAAATAGTTAGTCAAGGAGCAAATAATGTTTCAGAAAATTGATAGAATTATCCAGAATGCATTACTTATGTTGCTGAAACTTAAGTCTTGCAAGCGAAGTTAGGTATGTTCAGGTCAATTGCAGCTGTAGTCAAGCAACTTATTGTTTGTTTGCTTGCATCACTTATATAGTCACACTACTTGCTTAGGCTAGCCATTCTTCACAATGGGGGCCAAAATAACCAGGCCTGTGCAACTTTTATCCTCTAATATTTTCCACCTCTTGCTTTTCTTGTTCTATTATCTGCTGATGGCATCATCTTTTGCATGTTATTTTCACTGCACTTGATATTAATTCCCAACAATCTGGCAAAGTCTTTTTTTTCTTGACTTAGTCTGGACTTTTGATTTTTTTCATTTCCTTGCCATGAGATTTTGGCACCATCTTAAGCTACTGATTATTGATTTATACTGTAGAATGCATGTCTAAACATGCACTCTTCACAATGAGTTCTCAGACATCTTTTACATGCAATTCTTGGCCCTTGGATCCTTTAATATAAATCATCGATTATCTCTGTGTTGTGTGTAAAGAGAGGTGTGATATAAAGTTGTCATGAACATCCAGATAATTCATATTGCTCAAAACTCAGAAGTCAAAGGCCATATTTCTTGGGGTTCTAAATGAAAGATCTAAACAATTGAAATTGATCCATGTCCTCTAAAGAATCCATTATAAAAATCATAAAATTTGAAATCCATTTGTCCATTCATTTATTTGTCCAAAGATGAATGTCCTATATTGTCTATCAAGTCATCTTTTCAGTACTTTAGAGTCAAATGGGCTTAAAATCTCATGGGTTTTTGTTTCTAATTAGAAGACCAGATGGAATAGAACAACATCAATGATTGGGTTTTAAAAGAATCATAAATGATTTCTGTATGTTCAATCATGAATCTATTTGACATTATCTTAGTTCGACCAGCAATTTGCACAGTATTTTGTTCCTTCCAATACTGCAAAGTATCAAGCATTCTCACTGGTAAAAGAATTATGCACTTCAACTTTTCAGAGTTGCTGATTCACCACTCTAGCCTGCAACAGTCTGCAATCATTGCTAACTGCTATACCTTTTGTGATCTTTAGACTTTTTTAATTAATCTGTGTACATCAGTTTGATTTTTCATTATGGACCGCTCTCCTTTTCTTCAGGTATCCAGGTTTGTTGATCCTCAGGATGCCTGCTCAGCCATTGCTGCTGAATCTTACAAATTGTGGTTAGAGCATGAAAACCGGACAGATGATATAACAATTATTGTTGTGCAGATCAAAGACATGGTTGCTGTAAGTTCAACCTTTTGTTACCTAATATTAGGTGAATTTCCTTTGAATAATAACTTTTAACCCTTTGCAAAAATTGAATCAGTCATACGCCGAGGCAACCAATGAAACCATCCATACCAGCAACAGTATTCCCCTAAGTCCAGCGAAAGTAAAAGCCCAGAGGCGCATAGTATCACAGTCCGATACTAACCATCCAATAAAAGGCAGCTGCCAGGAGCTGCAGTCAGGCCCTCCAGACTCCTCAGCCAACTTTAGTCCTGCATATGTTGCAAGATCTCCAACTCACTCTGTTCATTTAAAAGGTATGCCTTTTGTTCTCTTAAGTCCTGCGTCAGCTCTTTATTTTTTCCAACACTTACTGATGTGATCTTTTCAATTATGGCAGAGATTAATCCACACTGATTGGAGCTTAACGGTTTTTCATATTTTCTTATTCTAACCTCTTCATTTTGGTATGTGGGATTACTACTCGATCTTTAAACATAATTATCTCTATCCTTCATCCTTCTTCCCATTAGTAGCAGTTAAGCGCTTGGGTTTTAATTGTTAGGGAAATCCCCTTCTTGTTTACTGTGCTAACTATATCCGATCCTTGTGACTGACAGCATATTCCGGCAACAGCAGAAGGCACAAGAGAAGGTCCCATGTTTTCTTTTTTCAAAGCATCCAACGCAAGGAGATTTTGGTTGTCATCTTGGCAATGTTTTCATTATCATTATAGATCATTCTATAAAATAACTTTGTCGTGTCCTCCACAATGCAAGTGTTCGAGAGCCCCTTCAAGCAAAATGTTACTGTGACTTTTTCAATGGCTTGGGACAGACCATTGGTGCTACAGGGCATTCATCTTCATTGCCATATGACCAGATAATTCTGTCATGTAGGAGATGAAGCAGGAGATCGCTTACTGCAACCGTTCTAAATTAAGGTGAATCTCCAAAACATAAAGGCTAAATAATGAGGGTGGATGATGTAGAAATGGTTGTATGCTACTTTTTTTATCCATATTGAATTCGAGCTTATTTTAAGTAATTTCTAATTTTATTACATGGATGTGGTGCCATCAAATGGATTAGGACACATTATGGTGAGGATGTATTGGATTCTTTTCCACTTTAATACCATCTTTTTTTAGTTTTTCTCATTTAAGATTATTATCCTGTGCACAAACCAGACAAGGGGGTACGGAAAGTCAACTTTTAAGTGAAAAAATTAGGAAATGATTTCAAGATGATTATTATTATTTTTCCTTAAGATTTTAGGATGATTAAATATCAAAATGAGAAATTTTTTAGAAACATATTGTGATGGAGTGTAACTTAGTTAAAAAATGAGTTTAACTCAGTCAACTTCAACAAAACTTACAAATTTTCACAAAATTATTGAGACATAATTGTAAGATGATTAATATATTTATTTTTCTTTTTTAAGAATCTTTGATAAAAAGATTGGCATTGTTAAAAAACAAGTATAACTCAATAAACTTTTATGAGCCTATCCAAATTTTTATTGAATTACTAGGACATGATTATAATACTATAAGTATCATTTTTTTTTATGGTTTTAGGGTGATAAAATATCAATATTGAAGAATTTTTTAAACCTATTGCGATCGAATTTAACTTAGTTCAAAACAAGTGTAACCTAGTCAATTTTCACCAAATATATTTAAATATCCTTATACTTAGGCATGATTATAAAGATGATTAGTATTATATTTTTTTTTTAGAATATTAAAATGGTAAAATATTGAAATTGATAAAATTTTGAAAACATATTGTAATTGAGTGTAACTTAGTTCAAAAATAAGTGTAACTTAGTAAACTTTTACAAACCTATCCAAACTTTCATAGAAAAATTAAGATATTTTGATAAAATAATTAGTAAGATTTTTTATTATTTTGATTATTTTATGTGATTAATTATGTAAATTAAGGATTATTTATTTAGATATGTACCATAATTCAAAAACAGAGTATAACTTGATGAACTTCCATAAGACCTATCTAACTTCCACACAACTGCTAGAACATATTGATAAGATGATTAGTATTACTTTTTCTATTTTTAACTAATTTAGAATGATAAAAATATCAAAATAAAATCTTTTTCAAAAAATTCCCGGATAACTTATTTTAAAAATGAATGTAACTCAATCAATTTTTATGAAATATCTCCAAACTTCCATAAAAATACTAAGATATAATTACAAGATAATTAATATTATTTTTCATATTTTAAATATTAGGATGATAAAATATTAAAATTAAAAACATATTGTGATCGAGTGTAACTTAGTTTTAAAAAAAAGATATAACTCGGTTAAGAAACTTATCTAAACTTTCATAGAAGTTTAGGACTTAATTATAAGGTGATTAGTATTACTATTTCTATTTTTGAGGATCTTAGGATAATAAAATATTGAAATTAGAGATTTTTGGAAACATCAAGTGTAACTTAGTTAAAAACAAGTATAACCGGATAAACTTCCATGAACCTATTCAAACTTTTTAAAAAATAAAATGACATATTAGTAAGATGATTAGTAGGATTATCTATCTTTTGATAATTTTAGAGTGATTAATTATCAAAATTGAGTAACTTAGTTTAGAAATAAGTGTAACTCGATGAATTTTCGTGAAACTATGGTAAGATGATTAGTATTATCTTTTTAATATTTTAAGATAATTAATAGAATTTGGCATATTATTGGTAGGATCGTAAAATCCTACCCTAATGGTACTTTATTTTTTATAATTCAACTAAAATATAATTGTAACAATGATTGCAAGGTCGATTACAAAATGGTAACTTCATATTCAAAATTAACAATAGTTTATAATACTTTATAATATTGTGATGTATTTGTTGAAAACTTGTATAAGTATACTATAAAAAAAAAACATCTCCTATAGTCAAACAATAAAAAAATAAAGATCAAAATTAAGTTATACAAAAAAGATGAAAGATACTATGTTACATTACAATTGACAATATTGATTTATACCACCCATGAAAATTTGCATGAGCATTAATTATGATCTAGTGATCTAGTTGTTGACATCTCATATATCTTCTAAAGATCTTATAATTATGCTTCAATTTTTACCTTAAAAAAAATCTTCATAAGACTAATGCTTCAACTTCTAATGAATACAGTAACAATACATCAAGTTGCTTAAAATACCCAAGGAACACCTCCAACTTCACTGAATTATTGAGTGTAGTGAGGGATTCACTAATGCAGCCAAAACTTCAACAATGTTGCTAAGGTATTAGCGATGCAACGGTGATATCTTCCTCCAACAATTTAGTGATAGCAATAACACCCACAAATACTTCGGCGATGCAACAGAGGAGGAGACAATAGAAGGAGAGGTGGAGGGTAAGAAGGAGATAGTGGAGTAGAAGAAGACAAAGGAATAAGATAAGTTAGAAGAAAAGGCAATGAACGGGACGAGGTAGAGGCAAACGATGAGGAGGTAATAAGAGACGAGGAGGAGACGACGAAAGGGAAAGAGGTAGAGGAAAAGAAGAACGAATGAGATGAGGTGAAGGGGGAGAAGAAGAAGAAGAAGAAGGCTTAAGGAGGAGGCAGAGGCGAAGGATGAGGAAGAGGTAATGGGAGATGAGAAAAAAGAGGAGAAGGAGAAGGTATAGATAGGAAGAATGAGGAAGAGAAGACGACGAAAGGGAAAAGAAGTGGAGGACAAATGAGATGAGGTGAAGGGGGGAAGGCAAAGGGGGAGGAGAACAAAATATTATTATTAATATAAAAAAAATGTAATGTGACGATGATTACCTTTGAAGCCACCAATTCCAGAGTGAGACTTAAGATCAATATACATACAACTTCTTTTACACTCTACAATTCGTGCATATTTCCACCTATTTGTCCCTTCTTCTTTTTTTCGCCTTTCTCTCTTCATTCCCTCACATACAGACTTAAGATCCAGCTTTTTTTTATAATTTAATCCGTCCTATCAAAAATCCCACGAAAAATTAAAATATGTGATCCCGTGAAGAGAGAGAATGTTTCGTCGTTTCTTCTTTTGATTCATGATCCGTCAAGAACATCTCAATCTAGCCGAAGCAACCGCCTCAGATCCCTGGTGGCGGAGCAATCCACCACAGCGGCCGCCACGGATCCCTCTTTCTTCCTCGAGAAGGTCGGCAGCGGCAGCGCCCGCGGCGACGGCGAGAGGACGAACCCCGATCCCGCGTACACTTCGTCCGGAAGCCCCGCCGCCGCCTCCTCCGCTGCTGGGACCAGCAGCGGGACCTCCCTGGGAATCATTCCCGGGTTCGGCCCCAGCCCCAGCCGCCCGGTGACGAACACCGCCGGCCCCCAACCGCCGCTCCCCGCTACCGGCTCGCCCTTCGTCGCCTTCTCGGCCTCCAGCGACTCGCCTCGCCGGAGGATCGCGACCTGTCCCACGACCAGGTGGCCTCCGCCTGGCGCGGGATGGCGGGGCTTTGCCGATCTTTTTAGGGAGGAGTCCCTCCTCCTGCGGATGGGCTTGGAGTTCCGTAGAGCGAGGGAAGGGCAGAGGAGGCAGTCATGGGGCCGCAACACCTCGGTTCCCATAACGGCGACGAATTCAAACGCAGACAAGGAGACAGAGAAAGGAGGGGACTTTGAAATCTCGGCCCTCCTCCTCCTCCTCCTCGTTCCTCCGCTCTTTCCGGTCCCTACAGACGGAGGAGAAGAGGCGACGAAGAAGAAACCGAGGGATTGGGAATGGCTGCCTGTCGGGGCTACATTTATCGAGGGGGGAGGAGGAGACGGGTCGGTGGGTGACAGTGGTGGGGACGCGTGGACCGGAGGAAGGGGTCATCGTCGGGCCCCCACACGTTCACGTAAAGGTGCTCTAACGTATAGCTGACGCCGTTTAGTCGCCGTCTTCGATGCCTTCAACTCATCACGATTCTGACCGTCCAAATAGGAACTATATTTTCTTTATTTTTATAGTAGAAAACCGATACGATGCGAAATGTATAATGGACGATTCCTTGAGAAAAATCCTACATTTTTAGGTTTTTTAATCATATACTCATTTTATTTTTCAAAATAATTTTGTTTTCTCAATGAAACCAATTAAAATGTTTTTGAGTGAATCTATAATATTTTCATTATTTTAATTTAGTAGTCAAAAGTATTTATTGTAAGGTCATTTAAAAAACATAATAGCTTATCATTTTTTTTATTTCTATTTTTTTACAACAAATAAGTGTAAATGTTATAATATTTTTAAACTAAAAATATAATTTTTGGTTGCTAAACTAGAATATTATAACTATATTAAAATATATTGTAACCGGCCCAAAAAATAAAATACTATATAAGAAAAATATTGCTGTGATAGAAATAATCGTGAGTTAGGTTTTAATTAGAAGTTTGTCATTCAAAGCCTCTTTTTTATTATTTAAAATATTTTTATTGATATTTTACTATTTATAATATCAATATTATCATTTTTTCTATTCCTCACAATTTCTTCTTATTAGTCATCGCCACTATCATTGACGTCACTCGTTGTCGTCCGACCCCTCTCATCGTCCTCTCGATGTTATCTTCTGATAAGGAAGAAAAAAAAGAATAGGTTGAATTCTTATAATTAGGATGAATTTTTGAATTTTTATTTTATTTTTCATCGTAATCCTTGAAATACTCCTTAATAAATAATTAGAGTTATATCTTATTTTACTTATGAACCAGTCCTGAACTCCTTTAGTTCCTCAGTTAATTATAATATTTTTTTAATATGCTTATAGTGTCTTAGAAAAATATCATATATCTCTATTAAGAAAGACTTATAATTAAAATAAAACCTTCACTAGTTCAAGAATACCTATTTGATACTTTTTTATTTTTTATATATGAGTTAGTTTCTTGTTCCTAAACTAATAAGAAAATCTATTTGATATCATATTTTTGTATATGAGTTAGTTTCTATTAAGTTTTGAGATCATTTGTCTCCATTATAATATTTTTTAATGGATTAATGGAGGTATCAAAAATATTATAAATTTATTTAAAAATATTATAACTGATATTATAAATCTTATACATGAAGGATTTGATTGATTAATAATACCATGACAATCGATTTATCATATTATTTGATCCATTCAATGTAACATATTGTCTTGGTAGGAAATAGGGATGATGACTCTTTGGAAAATTTGAAAATGACAAGTATCTCTCAAGAAAAATTAAAAATCATGAAATTTTTTTGAGATATGTGATTGAAAAATTTATCAAAAAAGATCAAAGATGGAAAACATCGTCCTGTAGAGTCAAAGCTGGTAAACATCAAAGTTGAATCTCGTTAATTGGCTTATGGAAAACAACGACATACCAAGGATATTATTTTTAACAATAGGTCTTTATAATAGATTTTGGGCAACCAAAGAAAATGACACCTAGGTCATAGACAAGCAATAGGGGCAACCTAAATATCATATATAAGGAAAAGTAGGTTAAACATCCTGATCTTCTAAGCTAGCTTAAGTGTAAAGACTCACTTGCCTTATATATAAAAAGCATGGGAGAATGTTTTAAAGATAAAGGACTATGTTCTCGGTGCGGAAAGCTAAGACATTTAGCAAGGAATAACATAACAATCTTATCATAACAGAAAATAAAGGATGGCCCCTCGATTATTTTAGGCAAGATATTTATTTATGACATTTTCTTGCATGCATTAATTGATTTTAGCATCACGCATTATTTTGTATCACTTGTTTACGTGGAAAAACTAGGTAAACTTACTTAGGCACTAGATGTGATATATTGCATAGTTATTCTATCTAGAGATATAATGTATTTAATTAGGGATTGGGGACTTGTCCAATTCAGATTGTCAATAAAGAATTAATCATAGATATGATAATATTGAATATACAAGATCTTGATATTTATATTGGGCATGTATTAGTTGTCTAAATATTATGCTTTCATCGACTAAAATAAGAAGATGATAGTATTTCAACCTCTAAGATTAGCAGAATTTATATTTGTTGATTTAAAAAAAGAGACATTAATCCCTTTTATCTCAACAATGAAAGCAATGAGACTTTTAAATAGTGGATGTACAAGATATATGACAAATATGATTTATACTAGGGTGGATCCGACAGAGGATATGCCAATTATAAAAGGATTCCTTTATGTGTTTCGAAAGAACCCCCATAGACTACCACCGGATATGGAGATTGAGTTTATCATAGACTTAATGCTGAATATTAAACCTATTTCCAAAGCACCTTATAGAATGACTTCATTAAAACTGGAGTTAAAGATATAATTATAGGAGATCCTTGATAAATGGTTCATTCGCCCTAGTTTTTCAAGAAGCACCAATCCTATTTATAAAGAAAAAGAATGTTACAATACGATTGTGTATAGACCATAAATAATTAAATAAGATGATTATTAAGAACAAATACTCACTCTCTAGGATTCTTCTACCGATCTCCTTGGTCTTCATGAACCTAGGATCCCAAGAAAAAAAAAAAAATAGCATATCAAGAAAGAAAGATAAGCATGCATCTCCATTACAAAGAAGAGAACACTAATCTGTGGAATATATCTCTTTATTTGTTGTATTTAATGGCTGCTTTAGATTTTTAGGCCACAGGGAATACTTGCTTTCAAATGTATGGTAGATCAAAAGATTGGCTTCTATGGATCTATTTGGAACCGGAAGGCAATACATGAATGCCCATATGTCCTATATATGGATATCTCTGCAAAGAATATTGTTCTCTTTTCTGTTGCACTTGCCTAAGAAAAATAACCTCCGCTGGTATCGTCCTCATTGGGGTTTGCTCCACATTTTCTTCTGTTCGTCGAAGCTGCCGATCACAGCAGACTGCCGCTTGTCACCTAATAAATCTGCAAACACATTGTAGTATGCTTCACTATCAAAAGAATCTAATATGTTGACCGATTTCCCACATTTATCTACTGTAATCTGCCCATCCTGGCTCAGATTTCCAGTTAAAACCCTGATGGGTTTTATTTGCATGACTGGGTTTAGCTTAGAATGATCAACCAAGAAAACTGCACCCAGGAGTTCCCCTAGAAATATTTCCTGCAGAACAAGAAAAACTGGAAACAGTAAGCATTGATACAGAAACAAGAATAGCATGCACTCTTCAGAGGCAATATACACTTGCAATGTCAACAGGTGCAAGAACACTACCATATGATGGTACAGTTTTGGTTGCTTCCGCTGCAACTGGTACAGCAACGACAGCAATTGATGTGCAAAAGTTGATTCAGGAGTTTTCTCTGCAAGTTGCAAAGTTTGCAGGATCCTCTTGAAGGAAATCACCTTCTGCTGAGCATTGAGAGGAATAAGTGTGATCGTCAGGTTCGACTCCATAACCATCTTTGCAGCTAAAGGGTCAAGGAACATGTTGAACTCAGCAAATTTATTTGTGGGAACACTGAAGACATTTCCTGCCTTGTCTTTCCCGTCAATGACTTGCCCACCAACTACATAAACATTCTGCAATCGATGCAAACTCAACACAGTTTGATTTGCTTGACATTATACAAAGCTAATGTTATGACCATCAGGATGACGTATTCATCTGACCTGGATGACCTTCTTTCCTCTCTTATCCACATCGAGGATGCTGGCTAAGTTAGTAAGAGGTCCACTCGTCAGCACAGTGATCTTACTATGCCTTGGCCGCAGTGACTTTGAGATGGACTGCCAAACTTGCAGAGCTGATGCCTGTCCGAGTACATGGCGATCATCGTTTCTTGGAGCTCCAAACTGCACGGCGGATTTCTCAGCTGTATACCTGGAGAAATGGTGAAGCTGATGCATTTAGCTCGTTGATGGGTGATGTAAAATGTTTCCTTGATCTCAAAAGTGAGTGACTGCAATCTACCTCCTGGGACTCCGAGGCAACGTACGAGCGAGCCCAAAGAGCGTATCGGAGTCGAGAAGCCCACCACTGCCGTGAGGAACAGCCTTGACGTATTTGCAGCCAAGGGTCGGAGTTCCTAACGCATTGACGTGGCCCAGACCAACAGGGATGTCATCACGCCCCATCATGTGCAGTATATCATACACGACGTCTATTGTTGCAGCAGTTGCCCAGCCGTTGCCGCTCACCAATATTCCCTGTGATTGAAACAACAGAAGCTGTAAGAGAAGTCATCGGATCATACAATGAATGGATCTTGATCTAAAATATTTATCTAATCCAAAATAGTTTTCGAGACCGTGAGAAAGTGATGATATATATCAAGTTTCTGATCGTCTCGACTTGTCAGCGCTTTCCTACTTGGGTGGGAAGATTTGTCATTCATGTTGTTTTTAGCATCATAATTGAAGGGTCAACTGATTGAAGCACCAGAGAAAATTGGGACCTCAACACAACTACAAATAGGGTTTCAACAGCTATACCTTGAGGTCTATCATCTCCAGAGGGGCTTTGAGCAGATATATTAGTGCAAGGAAGTCCCCAGCACTCATGTCCATGTCAAATATGACAGGCCTTCCCCTTGTCTGGTTTGCAAAATTTGGCTTGTACAAAATCTCTCTGTAATAAGGGAACTGTGTGGTAAGGTTGAAACGCCCGGATTGGTGATGCAGATTAAGGACCTGCATCTCACAATGATATATAGCTGTTACTGTCCTGTATACTTACATGAAGAAAGTAATCTGCAATACATGGAATTTTCTGAACATTTACATACAAATAAAAGCTAAAGTGATTGACTTTTAGTAACACAGACAAGGAATATATATATATATATATATATATCCACAAAGTGGTGCACTTCACGTGAACAATCCAACACTTACATCCAGGAAACTCTTGAAGAATTGCCTGTTCATTGGGCTGTGAACATCTCGATTAGGTCTTGCTCTCTGTGCAACCAGTACTTGAACTGCTTCCGAGTTAGATACTTCCTTGGTGTATCCGTCCTGTATGACACATCCCATCTTAAATTACTACCACTAGTTAAGTTGCAGTAGTACATTGGGTGGAATGCCGCTCTCAGTTTTACATAGTAATTACTGTAACTATAGCTCTGAACACAGCCAAGCATACCTTCACATCCTGTGCAATTGTCTAGTTGATAGAAATAGACACATATTTGATTTTTCTGGCAAATCTTACAAGCATTCAATGTAATGAAGAAGACTTGATTCTATCAACTTGCCAATTCATGGACAGTTTCATATTAAAGATTCAATACACAGACAAAGTGGATGTTGATGAGTACCTGGCATTTCCCTTTGTCACCTCCCTTCACAAAGCAGAACGGATCCTGCGGTCCAGTTTGAACATGGCCACTGTGCACTCCGGCTTTCTGCAGATTAAACTTGGGGACGGCGCGTCCATCGAACAAAGGGTTTGAGCCGTCGTTTACACCGTAAGGTTCGTTCGAAGTAACTACTGTTATGTTGAGATACTCCATCTCTGCAAATTCGTTTTCGCCAAGATAGCTATCAGCATGCTGCATGATCGATATGGCTACACCAGAAAGAAACGAGTCCCACATGAAATAGCTCTGCGGACAGAATCCAATCGAAATGACAGACTCTTGTCAATCATCAGAAACAAGTGCCAGCTAGCTGGTACTGACACTGCGTGCCAAAGATGCATGTGGAGCTTACTGTGTAAAACTGATCGCCGAACCAGGTATCACGGGTAAGCTGAAGAGATCTGAAGCAGTATTGTGCCTCGAGTGTCTCTTGCTGTTGCTCGAATGCATCGAAGAACTCCTTGCTTACGGGGATACTATTGGTTGCGTCAAGTGGGACGAGGATAACTGGAATCCCAGAATGGAGGACCTGCATATGCCTCAATGCAGGAAATATTAGGTGCCATAATGTATCCATGTTAATTAATGCATGCGGTGTACGCTATCATTGCACCTGGTATGCGGCAAAAGGATCTGCAAACATATTGAACTCTGCATACGGATTGCTGGTGTACGCTGTGAACAGGTTCCCGCGGTCACCACACTGCCGAGGCTTGCAAGAAGGGTTGGCTGCATCCGGTGGGCAACAGCCTGTGGGGTTCTTTGATCTCACACCACCGCCCATGCTGTAGATGTGTTCGATATTTGTCTTCAGATGTGGGTTAGTCATGAGAAATAGAGCAACGTTTGTGTGAGATCCAATCACAAACAAAGTGGTGCGGCCGGCAGATACAGTATCGATCATCACTTGTTGAGCTGTGGGCTGCTGAAGAGGAATATATCTCCTTTCACCCTGGTCACCACCATGGAACATTGTGAGCCGTCCCTACCTTTGTAAGGGTTGATGGGTAGGAGTGGATTTTGTACCTGAGGAAGGAAGCTCCTTCTCAAGCCGTAGTTAGTGTTGATATCTAATCTCCCACAAACACCCACTGGAATAGCCTGTCGATAACGGCAATCACCTGCTGTGGACAAGCCCTGGGGGATCGACTTACCATTAGTACCTGGAGCTCAACACTCGGGACATGTATGCTTGCACAAGTCACAAAGCATCAGAACCATCGATAACTGTCCAAATTCAGAACGAAACTAAGCAAAATAGTCAACATTAGAAACCAAGGTTTTGCTTCCACCAACGTGTAACAGAGGTTTCAAATAATGGTAATAGTGTGCTAGATGAGAGATGGTCTCTGTGTCTTTCCCCAGGCCAATATCCTTTGTCCCACTCCAGCATTTCAGATCCCGATACCTGTCAACTACCCTTATATTAGTCTCCGGATCCTATTCTGTTTTATCCTTTAGACCTGCTTCTAATTGATAGCAGCTAAAATTTTCTTGAGGAAAATTCTCACGGTACAATTGAGTAAACTTCTCCGTCCTAATATGTATAAATAGAGAGCATAAGTTGAATATCATACCATTGCTATTATTATTGTAGAATTCAATTAAGTCACGAATCTACTCTCGAAATTTGACATCGACTTCACCTCTACTCCTACAATATATTATAATAATGTCGGAGCTACTTGTGCGCCAATCTAGTATTCTATTCACACATGAAATATATTGTCATCTAGTTTTACTTCGTGCAACTAGCAGACTCACTCACGAAGCCTCTCGCATTCAAACTATTTTCAATGTATCGGTCCAAGATCGACAACTTTGATAAGAACATCATTTTGTAGGGGCATGATAGCAGCTAAGATTTTCCCAACTATGCATGAGAAAATCTAGCTGTACTGTCGAGGAAAATCCTTCCTCCTAACCTATATAAATAGAAAGCACATATCAAACACAATACATCTTCATCTTATTTATTCTCTTCACTAATGCCCCCCAAATTCTGTCCCTAATTGGCGAGGCCCCTCCGCAGACTAGTGGTTCAACATTGATGACTCCTCCTAGGATAACCTAGGAATTCCTTCATAGAGGGAGATTAGAGGCCTAACCCCAAATACAAACTCAACAAAATTCAATATAGTTCTAAACTCTCGTGATAGATCCAATTGATATTCTTATGGCTATTTAGTTTTTTAGTCACGCTCCTTCCTTGACCTGATTAGATGGAAACTATCTAGGTTTTAAGGTTTTTCTTTTGAATTTTAAATTATCGACCTCAGACCTTAAGGTTGGAATTTTTTGTTTTAAGTCTGAATCAGAACCATGGACATTCCCTTCCCTTGTTTCCCTATTCTGCTAACTTTCAACCGCTTAGGGAACATATCACTACTGTCCCAGTGAATATAGTTCCACTAGTATTCCTATTAAGTTCTAGAATCTGAAAATTCTTTGTCAACATTGTTGTTGTTGTTTTTAGAAAGTCTATCAAGATTAATAAGGTTATATTGTCGGGGGTTTCATGCCAAGTTTGATAGAATTTGTGTCGTTATGGACTTTGGTAAGCCCTCACCCCAAGGTTTTGGTTGAGGTAAAAAAACCCAATTTGAATGTTTCACTGTATTATATATTTTGGGTGTCGAATAATAGGTGACAAAGTTAGGCAATAAAGTTGTATCGAATGTAAGATTGTTGAATCCTAAATTTTAATAATGAAATCAATTGGTAAGTTTGATAAACTATTATGATTTTAAAATAAATAATGTAGGAAATACTCTAATCACGAATTCGAACCACTGAATGATCAAATGTCGAGGTAGAGAATCGGATGTTGTACCAAAAGATTGTTGTGACGGAATTAGACATTAAGATAAAGGATTGGTCGACGTGTCAGAGATTGAATATTGTGTCAGAAGATTGGATGTTATGAAAATGTTGACATATCAGTCGAATGGGCAATATGTCAAAGGATATGATGATATATTAAAGATTTAGACGATATACTAAAAGATCGAATGATACGATGGAAGAGTAGACAATATATTAAAAGCTTTGAAGATATGTTGGATGAGTGGTTGATAAGTTAAGGTTTTGATCGAAGTAATTTTGGGTTGGGTTAAAATAAAGCCCACTTGTCATGAAAGCTATTGGGCTTAAAGTATGATTGAATTGGGCCCGTTAGATAGCTAAACCAATGGCCTAAATCTTGGGTAATGGCATCACTGGGCCAAGGCGGTGATACCACCTGAGTCAATCAATAAGCACAAACCATGCTTTATCAACATTTCCAATGGTAGTACCACCTAAGGTGACGATGGTACCACCGAAGTCAAAAGTCGCAATGGTAATATTGCCCAGTGTCAACGGTAGTACCACCCACATCCTGAAATTTCATAGATTTAATTTTTTTATTTATTTTTTAAGTCTTTTGAGATCTATAAATACCCCACTCAAGCTTGGTTAATGAAACATTCATTCTTAAGTTTATGAAGTATTATAACTCTCTTTTTGGATATTGTTTGAGTCTCTTCCTTTCTCTTGAGTTTAGTAGTGATACTAAATAGTAGAAGGCAAGAGATCATTCAAAAAAAAAAAAAAGTGAGTGTAAAGGTTCTTTCCTAAGCCAGAAAAAAAAGAATGTTATAAAAGGTTGTTAATCTTCACTTGTTAGAAGCAAGATCGATAGTAAAAATCGATGACCTCGAGAGAAGAGGAATTAAGAGTGAACGTAGATCAGAAAGACCAAACCACTATAAATTATCATTTTCTTGCTTATGACTTTTGTTCGTAATATCTTATTATCAATCACTCTACTCGCACTCCATATTTGGCTGATCATATTTTTTATATATGTTTTTTCTTGATGTAATTTTAAAATCAATTAAAATTTACTATAGTACTAATTCATCCCCCTCTTAGTATAATTAAGATCCTAATAACTAGAATCTTAATAATTCTTTCAATTGGATTAACACCAAAGAGAGATTTAATAACTTTTTCGTACAATAAAAACGGTCACTCTATCATGCACTCTCCTACATTCAATGAAATGACTATACCTATTGAAAAGTGTAGCATAAAATTTTTTATTCATGACAAGTGTAGCTCAAAATTTTTTATTCCTTACATTAAATGTGAAAACTTAGAATTATCTCATATTGAACTTAAAAAGAAATTATTTCAAAAATCAATAGATTTGCATACTTTAGAAAATATAAAAAACTTACTTTTCATGAATGAAAAATTAAAAAATTAATTGAAAGATTCAACTAATAGCAATGATATAATAGAATTAGTTAAAAATATTTTTTTTTTATGATAAACATTGAAAAATTTTGAAGTAGGAAATAAGTCCTAAGATATGATTCTTACTAAGGTATTGCATTTAGAAAAAAAGGAGTTGGTTTTACACAAAATAGCAGCATGTATCATAAACTAACCAATTTGTAAAATGACCTATATTGTATACTCATTCATCTTCTAGAATTGAATATATTTTTTATAAAACTTTTGATCACTTTGTTTATTTTTGTTATCTAAAAAAAAATTACAAAATATATTTGGGTTCCCAAAGCAACTGTTTTAAATCCAAAATATAAAGAAGGACCAAAGTTAAATAAGTACCAAAATCAATCTTTTCTCTTTTGTAGGTTTATACTCTAAGTCAAAGCTAAGAGCACAAGAAAACACTTTGAAAATGGATGCTCAATATATATGATTGAAGATCCTATATATATCTCAAAGATCATTAGCCAAAATGAAAGATGCATAACTTTCGATGAGAACTACAAAGAAAAGTACATGAACATGCAAAAATCAATTATATTGTGTAGAGATTTCTCTAAGGATATTCACCAAAAATATTAACAATACATCATTAAAAGGCTTGTTAGTTCATACAACATAAATAATTTGATTATAAAAAGTAATATATACTTGTCGTAGACAAATATAATAAATATTCTAGGATCCATTTTTCATTAAATGTGAGAACAAATTATTTTATCAAGTTTTACAAATATTTTAAAAAATATTCCAAAGTTGCTAATATTGATTTTGATGACCGACGACGTCGATCGAAAGAGGATTCATCATTTAATAAATTAGATATTTACCTCACTCAGCTCCGACTAATTGTATGATTAGTCATACAGTTAGTGTGATTGCGATAGGTAAATGTACATGTATGAATTGAAAAGGTTAAGAGTTTCTTGGTACCTGTTCGATCAGAGGAAGATAGCCACCAACATCTGCAAGTATGTTGCCATCATCTAATATTCCACCATCACCTCCAACTCCGACATAAATGTCATCTCTGCCCATCATGTAAAGAATATCGTATACATGATTGACAGCATGCGCAGCATCTGTCCATGCATTGGCACTAATCGTAACAGCCTGAAATGAAGCATATCATGTTTCTTATTCTTCTTAGATAACAAGTAGGCAAGCCTAATATCAAAATTGGAGAACAGTAGTCGCAATACCAACATAGACAAGTGGGAGTGACTCGTTGCTTTAACAATGTTAAGAGTGACACAGAATTATCATAGTTTAACTTGAGCTTTCCCTTAGCTACAATCCATACAATATAATAAATGCAGGGGGATGGATATTGGTGAACGTAAAAATACAAAGTGCAGGTTTTGTGTTAAGAATCTGCTTTTGACCATGTCCAAAAGTATAGAATGATAGCATTCTCGAGCACATCACCAACAGGAGAAGCATCTTCTCTTTTTGTTTTCTGCGAAAGAACTGGAACAAAACCTTCACCTGCCAAAACACACAAGGAACACCGAGAAAAACCTTCAACAGGATGGCAAAGTGCTTCTCCGATGTTGATGCTGTCAGCTGACTTCTATTTTGTTCGTTTGGGGGAATGCGAATGCAAGCTATTACTGGAGATACACCAGTCGTTCGGATCGAACCTTACGTTTTACTGAACATTATACCCAGAGAAGAAGAAACCAAGAACAGTCCAAAATGAGCACTGGAATCAGCAAATCACTAGTCGTACCTTGAGGTCGAACTGGGATCGGCTCTGCTTCAACAGGTACACAAGTGCGAAGAAATCGTCGGTATCCATGTCGGTATCGAGGAGAATCCGGCGAGGCTTCGCTTGCACCGGACAGGACTTCCGACCAAGGCAGATGCCCATCAGCACAAGAAACAAAAATAGCACTCTTCTGTCCATAGTCTCTTCCTCTCTCTCCCTCACTACAAAGCATGCAGAAGAATCACATCAGACCAAGCTGGTTAACAGAGAATGACAAGTTTCGATAACCCACGAACGTGAACACGGAGAGAAGGATAGCTTACACAGAGAAAAGAGGGTTGGTGAGGGGGCGGGGAGGGGGGGAGAGAAGGCACTAGCTAGTATGCATACTATGAAAGAGCCATGTATCTAAGCGATGAGGAAATCGCATCGGATGTGTATGAATGCGCCTTCTCATGAGATCCACAATTATATCATATCCCGCACTTATGTGGATTGCATTGGCAAGCCTGCGTCTTGGAGCTAGAAAACATGTTGGTCTCAGGCTTACACTGTCCCTGTCAACTTAGCCGCCTTGCTCACTGAACAAGTGTTTAGCCCAAAATGTTCCTGAGGGAAGCTACGGACTCAGCGTTGACTTTAACTTCCATGGAGGAGGGAGGAAGCATTTGGTCGGCAGCATCCACACTAAAGGTCCCGTTTGACATTGTTCTCCTACTAGTGCGAGAGTGAAAGTATCTATTGATGCATGCTGAGAAGATATTGTCGTCCGCTTGCCCAGTTACATGTTGCCATGTCATTTGCTTCAACAGCTAATAATGGCAAATACATTAACTAACGTCTTCCCTCTGATGAACGTACATGTCCTCTGCTTTGTGTATTCGCACTCATAATAGAAGTCAAAAGTTGATTGTTATTATATACTATGCGCATGTCAGTTTCGGATCGGTGCAGCAATTTTGATTCGATCGCTGATAGAATTAAAATGCGTTAGGCTTGATAAGTATTTTTAAAAGATTCTAATTATCTAAAAATAGCTTTAATTAAATTTAAATTTTTTTATGGATTAGGATTTAAATTTTAATTAAGGATTCAAGTAGAAAGAGAACTTGGAGGATTAGAATTCTATTCCTATTAATAGAGTCTCAAGATCTTTATTGGAGGGAGAGGTAAATACTTAAGTGTTTATTTCTAATGGATCTAGAAAAAGTTAAGAGAAAAATTCTTTGAATTTATGTAAAAGGATATGAAAGGGTAGTCGACCTTAAACAAAGATATCAAGGGTCTTGTAATTGCTCTTAGATATAGGTAAGTAGTTGCATCTTGTATCGAATTTTTAAGTATATTCTTTATTTATTGATCTCTACAATTTTTCTTTTGTTTTGAAAGTTTCCTCTCCCTCTATGATATCATGATTTAAAAGATTATTGATATTTCTATTGGTGTTTCTACTAGTTTTGTTAAGAAGAAATTTGATGAAAGAAATAATTTCACCCTTATGATAAAAGAAGGTGAATGAAGGATCTTCTAACAAGAATATCAAGCAGATAAGCAAGCAAATCAAAAAAAGATGAATGACAAAGATTGGGAGGGGTCTAAGGGTAAGTTTTATTGGTCTTATAATATTATTAATAATATTATTGATGACGACTCCATCACCCATCGTTATTTAAGATAAGTTAAAAAATCTTTATCTAACCAAAAGTGAAACTAATAAATTATATCTAAAGCAAAAACTATATAAGCTGGGAAAGATAAGTTCAAAACTGTTAGGATCGAGAGCACTAAGAGGGGGAAACTATATAAGCTGGGAAAGATAAGTTCAAAACTGTTAGGATCGAGAGCACTAAGAGGGGGGGGGGTTTGAATTAGTGCAGCGGAAAACTTTCTGCGATTAAAATCGAAAGCTGCGTTCGAACGATAAAAACAACTTCTGTATGAAAGTTGATACTAAGCAAGATTAAAGTCAATCTATGCAGGCAGTTTGCAGCTATGATGAAAACCAGAATATCGGCGCAAACTGAAATCCGACGTTCGTACGAAGAAACTGATTTACGTCTAAAAGCTGATTCGTAAATCACTTGATTAGATAAGACATAGTTTAAGCAGGAGTATAAAGGCAGTGTGCAGTTATGGTAAAGCTCAAAACGTAAACGCAATCTGCAATATGATGATCATACGAAAAAATAGATTTACGTCTAAACGCAAATTTACGTCTAAACGCAGATTTACGTCTGAACCTTGAAACTCGTTCGTAAAATCGCAGAAGGCAGTAAGCTATTGAGAAGTTTGCAGTGAAGGTAAAATGCTCAAAGGAAATGCAAACCGAGATTTAGAGCGGTTCGGTCAATCTTGACCTACTCCACTTTTGGCTTCCTCCACCGACGAGGTCACCGACGTCAACTAGAGGCCTTCCTTCAATAGGCGAAGGCCAACCACCCTCTTACAGATTCACTCCTTTTGACGGGCTTAGGAGACAACCCTTACAGAAGTTTTCTCTCCTCTCTTTACAACTCAAACTTTGAAGAACAGAAAGAGGAGAACTAGCAGTTTTGAGCTCTAAGAACCACAGAAAGACAGCAAGATTTCGAGTGTGTGTTCTGTGCTTTCAGTGCTGAATGGGTGGGGTATTTATAGGCCCCAACCTAGTTCAAATTTGGAGCTCAAATCTGTTAATTCCCGGAATTCCGAGATCAGGCGGTTGCACCTCCTGACTGGGGCGGTTGCACCGCCTGGCAGAGCTCGAAGACTGAGCCTCTGGGCGGTGCCACCTCTGTCAGGGGCGGTTGCACCTCTCTGCCAGAGCTCGAAGACCGAGCTCAGGCGGTTGCACCGCCTGACTGGGGAGGTTGCACCACCTGGCAGAGCTCGAAACTTGAGCTCTAGCGGTGCTACCTCTTGACAGAAGAGGTTGCACCGCCCAGTCTTGCTCGGAGACTGAGCCCGGGGCGGTGCCACCTCTTGGCTGGGACGGTTGCACCGCCCAGTCTTGCTGGGAGACATAGCCTGGGCGGTGCTACCTCTTGGCTTGGGCGGTTGCACCTCCCACAGCAATCAGGGTCCGAATGGGTTAATTCATTCGGCCCAATTTGATTCTTTCAGGGGCCCAATTGCCCCAAGATTAAGCTAATGGGATCATCTCCCATTTCTAACTTAATCAATGTGCTAACTACGATTATTTCCTAAGACATATTCTGCAGCTTGCTCCGGTGCGTCAATCGCTTCTTCCGGCGAACTTCCGTTGATCATCGGACGAACCCTCGGTGATCCTCCTGCGGACTTCCGGCAAACTCCTGGACTTGCGACGATCCACTTGGCAAGTTCCGACGAGCTCCTTTGGCAAACTTCTGGACTTCTCGGATTTGTTCCCGCAGAACCTCCGACGACTGTCCGAACTTCCGTCGAGCTCTCGAACTCCCAACGTGATCATTGTCATGACTCCGGCGCAACTCCTGCTGCAGGTCTTACTTTCATCGTAGTTAATCCTGCACATTTATCTCAACACACAGATTAGACAAACAAATGACAATTGACTTCATCATCAAAATCCGAGATTCAACAATCTTCCCCTTTTTGATGATGACAATCAATTGATAATAGAGTTAACCTTAACTCCTCCTGTCTATATGCCATACTTCTTAAATTTAAAAACTTTATAAATTCAAGAGACATATTCCCATCATGATTCCTATCATGATGTATCTCTTTGAAGATGATGTCAAGGCTTGACATTCATTTTCAAATATAACAAGTTTGAATGATGGTTATTGTAGCAATTCATCATATTTGTAAGATATCGACATGTAAGGCTGTGAAGCAAGATTTCGATATCATTACATGATGTACACATTTCGAATATTTTAGCAAGTGTAGCATTGCATCAGATGGTAAGATATCAGCTCGTACAATGCAAATTTTTGTTTGATATCTTAATACAGGGCATATAGCAATGATAGCAATCATATATTTCTTGGTGATGCAAGTATGGCCTAATCATAGCAATGATAGCAATCATATATTTCTTGGTGATGCAAGTATGGCCTAATTATAGCATCAGTGATAGCAACCATATCAACATTAGTGATAGCAAACATATCAATTCATATATTTCTCCCCCTTTGTCATTAACAAAAAGCATGGTAGATGTGATTCCAAGAGAACAATATAAGCAGGTTATCAAGCACATAAAGGAAGGCATGACACGTATAATGCTTTGAATACCTCTTCTCCTTGTATGTTGTAATTCTTTGTGCATGAAGGAGGAAAGTCATTTTTCCAAAAAAAAATTTACATAAGAGTGTACAGGAAAATCCAATTTTTAGCATTCAAATTGTTAAGCAAATCCGAAAATGAAATGAACTCTTCCATGCATTCGGACATAAGTCAGTTATTTGATCAAGTGATACCAAGGCATGTAATAGTAATCAAGTGATTTGATCATTCAATAAAGTCCGAAAAATAATTTTAACTGGTTTAAGTATTCGGACACATCAACATTCCTAATTCTCTTCTTATGAAATCAAATTGTTCTTCACTTAGAGGTTTTGTAAAGATATCATCTAGTTGATGTTTCGTATCAATGTCATATTACTGACTTATCAACTACATTGGTATGTCACTTTATATTTATCAAGGCACAAGGTTTTCAAAACATTTAGTTTCAATGTAAAATCCGAGATAAACAACAAGAGATGTTTGTAACTTTGCATATGCTCACAGATCAAGGTAAATAAAGAGTAACATACGGAGTTTACAACATGTCATATTAAAGATAAAGTCCATCATGAGGAGTTTATAACAACAACGGATGATTGTGTTCATACAAGCTCATTCATGAGGTGGAAAGTTAAAGTGCCTAAATAAAGAGTCAAATTGTCGATGAATTTGCTGCAGCTCAGTTAGGATTTGATCTTGTCGATGTTCAAGCCGTTCTTGTCTTTGTTCGAATCGGTCCATCCGAATCCCAATATCTTCGACAGATGATGTGTGAGTTTGCTCAAATGGATGTGTTTCCTCAAAGGGACAGATCGGAGAAGATTGGGTACCCCTAAAGACTGGTGTTTCCGGTTCTGGTTCAGGTTAAGGGGGATCAGTTCTTCTTGGCATTCTAACCCAGTTATCGTTTCTATAAAAACATCTTAATCGGTGAAGTAGATTTTTATTAATTATGTTGAATCTATCTACTTTTATTACTTCTTCTTCCGGTGGTATTAGAATATCGTAGGCTTTCATTATTCTAGTTATTATACCACCATATGGGAGCATCATGT